CAAGTCGCCCCAGGGATCAGTATCAATGTAAAGGGCTGGACAAAGTGGACAAAAGTGAGCTAGAAGATAGTCTGTCTGCTCTGAACAAACTGACAGCAGACAGGTGGGATATTGACCCAGGGTGATAAGTTATCAGCAGACATTCCAGTGTGGATGTGTAGTCAAGGTCAGCAAAGATCAAGACACGGGAACCGGCAACAGGCCCATAAATTCACATCCAAGTGACGCATGGAGAGAGACCTCTGTCTCTCTCATTACAGGGACTTCACATTCATGTGAGGTCCCACAAACAATATGAAGCATTTTGATGATTTAGGTTTGAATTTATGCATGTCACCTCATAGGCTTGTTCAGTTTAATGTAACAACACACTAAGTCACACAATAAAATAAAAAAAAACATATATAAACCTCTTAAAATGGCAAAAGGTATGGAATCCTTTCATGCCAGAAAACTGGGGCCAACTGATACAACTATAACTAATGGCAAAAAGGTCATGTTAAAAAAAAAAAAACTGATATGAGTCTGGTTAACGCACAAGTCTGGCCAGTCATCTCTGTAGTTATTTTTGTGATGGACACCAAAAATTAAACATATCAATGTGCTATATTGATTTTCCCAGTGGCTCCTCTCTGAAGCCTGTTGTCCTGTGCCTAATCAACATACGTAAAGAAGACCATGTGCAGATAGCCAGGCTTGCTCGATAATTTCCTTCCCTTCCAGGGATCTTAAAGCTTCTTCTGAATGTAGCTTGTGTCCACCATAATGGTGTTTTCCCATTACATAGTAGGGTTTGGTTCCTTTACCCTTTTTTTGGAAGCACCCTAAGTCAAGCTTAGAGGCGAGCCGAGGTTGATACTAAACAGTGATACAAGGACACTATTGACCACTGCCTGTTCAGATAATCATCCCAACAGATCTGACATACAGACAGTGAATCCGTTTGATGTTCAATACGTGATGACGGTTGCTAAAAAATCATTTACTGCTTTTTAATGTTCAGTTTATCAGTGACTGATCCAAACTCCAATATTGGCAAACTTGTTTGACGTGACTTTCCCTTTAGCTAAGCTGGATGCTCATTTCTGATTGTTTTTAACAGCAGTGTTTTATCTTTGTCATTGGCCTGTTGTCTCCGAAGTTACATCTGGCTATAATAGTCAGCAAATATCTCATTTGTGTAAGATAGAACACTGCACGCAGTGCTGTGTCATACCATGTAAAAAGACAATCCACTCAAATCTGCAGTGTGACGAATACAGTCCATGTCACCTCTGACATCCTGCAAAAAAACAATGTTTTAACTTCCTAACAAACCTCCAGCATATGAATTCAAATGTGAAAATGCCTTTCTGCGTTTGAGCAGAACTTTCTGTCCAAATACCCCAAATTCAGTTATTATAGATTGTATAAATCTGATATATGTCTTTTTCTATTCAGTCTATTTGCGTCAATGTACATCTTTTCAATGCCAACATCATTTTCAGTTTACATGGATGAGACAGCAATATCTAGAAATGGTAGCTGGGATGACTTTTTTACTCAGAATATGACCTCTTACCTTTTCACGAAGAAGCTTAGTAAATTATTTTATCTGCCTTTTTTAAGTGCTGCATTTAGTTTTTCGTGGTAGTGAAAATATATGGCAGAAAAATCAGTGAGGGCTATTGGCTTAGTATTTTTCCTTTCAAAAAGACAATTGATCCAGAGCTACACAATCAGTGATCCGTCTCAAATATGTTTTCAAATGTTTTCCACGGCTTATTTCACTGAATATGATCATGCAAACCCCTCATTGTGTGAACTGTGATCCTTTGCGTAGTAAGTGGTTTAATCTGTTCTATATTTGGATGTCGGCACATTTTTAAAAGGGTTTGTATGAGCTATGAGTAGATTTTATATGCAAATTATTTCACGTGAAAAGAACAATCAATGTTAAAAGAAAGCGGAGGGGTGCAGTCTTTATAATCTATTCTCCGGTGAGTCAAATATTATCTCCACGCTACTGTGTTCTCACCTTATAATTATTGCCCATACTCATTAATACCGATTCAGATTTCACTTGCTGAAGAGAGTTTAGGGAGATCAGTGTGGAAAAGGGGTAGTGATGAGCCCCTATAGCACGGTGAATGGTTGAAGTGGAGTGTGACGTCATCCGAGTGGCTTTAGGATGACGCACCTCATCAGGGCTCATTAACATTCTCTGCACTCGCAGCCCTTCTCGTGACGGAAAACAGATCTGGAGCTCACTGGTAGATGCTGAAAGAGAGAAGTCAGACCATGGAGGGAGTGTACACACAGTGGCAGTTTTAGGGGCTTTACATGCCTCCTCAAGGGAAACATAACTGTAGGCGCTTGTGGGATTTTAATGGAGGGTGTAAAGTGAAACACACATATTCTTTGTGCTTCAGTGAAATTATAGCTCCATCTTTCCTTAAAGTTGCTTCCAGAAATTAAAAAACTGTTTTGCACAATGGCTGTGGCTAAAAATGCAGATAATGCAGAGAAATAATTATAATAGTACTTTTTTTACTGTATACAATAAGGATGTCTGTTTCCTTTCTGTGTCTTATACCTTCTACTTGTTAATAAGGAAACTATAAGCATGTTAGACTTCTACAGAATTTTCCTTCCTGAAGTTTAAAAATCTAACGCGACTTATTGACTAATTTTGTAACAATTGGCTTTTGGCTTAGGTGGGGTGCCAGCCATAACCGTACCTGTTTAGTCCTATTCAGAGTCACAGGGGGGCTGAATCCTACCCAGCAAGTTCAGCATCAGACCGTTGAATCAATCTGAGGCACTGTGGTCTATGTCGCCCTCTGGTGTATCATCATAAAGTCATGGAAACTATGGTTTGGCCTTCAAAAAAGGTAACCTGGCCTGTTTGCAACATATTCACAATGCAACAAACTAGCCCTCTCTTGCATAAATCAAAACATGATTAAAAAGCATGTTAAAAAGAAGTTTTAAAAAGTCTAAAGTTTAAGACTTCTACTGTCTTTTCATGTGTCAGTCTCTGTTGAAGCTGCCTGTAGCTCTGCTTAATGTAAATTCAACCCTTGCTTTACACTGCCATCTTGTGGAGAAAGAGGGAAATGAGAGCCACAAAGGGGCTTTATTAAACACAGAAGCCCTCTGATGCTGTCACAGAGTTGAACTGAATTCAATTAATTGAGAGGATGATCCCTTGAATGTCCCCTATGGTAGAATGGGGTCCTGAAACACACTGACAGGTTTTAGGCCACCAACTAAGAGTGTGTGTACATGTCAGATTTGTCCATATCTGCATTTTATTATCTTTATATGACAGTTTCTCAGTTCCTCCCATTTCTAGCACAGTTCCCAGCAGAGATGCCATAGTTTGAGTAAGTCAGCATATCAGATAAGGAGTTAAGGTGATGTGGGTGAGAATTACTGTCCATGAAAAAGCCTAGATTTTTCAAAGTAATTGGTGAGGGCTTACACACATGCTGCATTGTAGAGAACAACAATGTAACAGTCTAATTTTGGGCATGTGCACAAATGAATGAAGAGTATTGCATGATTTCTAGAGATATAGCTTCAGGATGAACAAAACAATCCTAGCGAGAAAAAGAGGATTTTAATTCGATGTCCACAGCCTATCATCTACTTAGCCTCCTCTAGCCTTCAGAGAGGTTTTGCATCCCACAGATGCAATCTGATCTAATTAGATGGTGTTTACACCTGCTGGGAGAAGCTGATGCTGAGCTGAAAAGTGTCACAGCAGCATCCAGAGGCAGGGGCTGTTTTTCCTGGCAGAATGTTACATTGATACCAGTGTAACGTTGGATATTTCCTGTTCCTTTTGTTTCAGTAAAGATTTGTAATAGTTCTGCCATCATAATCTGCAATGAAAGCATTGATTTTTGACAAAGTTTAAAAATGTATTAAAAGCTATTTCTTTTCTGTTTTTTTGCCTACGTTCGTATTTGATATTTAGCAGCTTCTTTAAACACTACAGCTGGGAATATGCTAAACCAAAAGCTGGCCACACTAACATTAAGCAATGGTTAGTCGTTATCTTGTAAATGATTGATTCCAAAACTAAATTTAAACATTTGAAATTACTAGATGGCTTATATCTTAAGCTCAATCATTATATGTGTTCAACCTTCATTTTCATCAGGAGAAGTTCATCACCATCAGTAATAACAGATCTACTTAATATAGGGAGCATCACACTTCATGGAAGGATTACTGAGCAAAATGGATATCGTTACAGTGACAAAGTAATCAGATGTATGGTACAGAAATTGCTTCGATTTAGCATCTGCTTGAACTGCTTCAGCAGTTTAGAGGTTGTGAGGTTTGAAGTGTTCCTCATGTAAATAACTGGGTGGGAAACTTTAAGCGCCATCTTGAGAATCCCTGATTTTAAATAATTACTGTACAAATACTGTACTTCCAACACTAATACCCCCCAAATAAATAAATAGTTAGACAAATAAAATAGCTGTACCTAGCAGATAATTTGAATAATACAATGAAAACAATGAATAATAAGTTTTGCGGAAGAACTTTGCATCTAGTATAATTCTGACGATAGATGACAATGGATGATCCTCCATCTATTGGATCGAGAGAAAAGAGCCATATTAAAAAAAACTTTACGGCAGGTCGTATTTTCACATTCGTGCGTTTTGACATAGTAATATATGTCTCTGCGTTTTTAACTTTTTTCTACATATTGGTTGAAAAAAAGAAAGAAAACTACAAGCAGTGGAAATCGTAAAATGTCTCTAAATCATGGAGCTATAATCCAGTCCGGGCTTTGCGGCTCTCTCTGAGCCTCTTAAGTTTCACTCCGGCGCGTGCTCTGTGCTGTGTGTTGTCAGGCAGAAAGACTTGGTAGTCAGGGTGGCGTGTGTCCTGATAGACAGGCACCCCCGTCACAGCTCACAATTAGACAATAGCGAGACGTTTTTTTTTACACCTTTTTCTTTCGGAAGTAGCCAGCTGTTGTTGTGACTTGTGAGCTGCCTTTTTTTGTCGAAACAAAAATGTCTGTGGGGGTGGAATCCGGATTCTCGAGTGAAGAGGTCTTAAACAGCCGCTTCCCTCTCCATCGGGCTTGCAGGGATGGAGACGTCGGTGCCTTGTGCTCGCTCCTTCAGTGCACCTCCAACCCGGCTGACCTCGCGGTTGAGGACACTTTCTACGGTTGGACGCCCATACACTGGGCCGCTCATTTCGGAAAGGTAGTCGGCAAGAAAGCCTTTTTTTTAACCTGCTATTGTATTGTCCGTATCCGTAGCCGGTGAAACGCAATCCACAATGAGCGTCAAAGCTCCCCGACACGAGCCTCATCTCGGCCATTTCCTTGTGCTTGCCTAAACTATTCGCTGATGAGCCTAAAGGCAGCCTTCCTTTAATGGAGCCAGACAATGGGGCATTAACATCCGAGCGACACTGTTTCTCGAGCTAATGCTGTTTTCGTCAAACATTTTCGCGACGTTTTTTCCCTCCTTTTCTTTTGTTTGTCTTTTGTTGGAGTAATGATTAACGTACGTTGAGCGGGAAAAGCTACTGGTTGTCAGAGAATACACACACCATAAAATTATAACATTTCGGGAAGCGAGCGGTAGTTAGCTTACCGAACAAACGCTCGCTAACTTGCACTTATTGTTACCACCATACCGAAGATAGAAACTTACTGTTATGTATACAACCTCCTGAAATGCGGTGTCCGAGATTTAAATACACATTTCAGTCAGGCTTACAATCTCAATGTTCGTTTTTCCACCACTGAATTCTTTTATTAATGTTCTGTTATAATTGATTTAATGTACGTATCGGGGGGAGGCTAACAGCTCTCTCTGTCTGAGTAATAGCATTTTTTTCTAATAAGACAGAATAGCACACACCTGCCCGTACTTGTCTGTTGTCTTAGAAAGCTTCTATTTAATCTGCCCATAATAAGATGTGACTGTACATTCAACTCTTCCCCTCACAGCTGGAATGTGTGATGCGCCTGGTTCAAGTTGGCTGTGCCGTGAACTCTGTCACCTCCAGGTTTGCACAGACGCCCACTCACATTGCTGCTTTCGGGGGCCACCCTGACTGTTTGTTATGGCTACTCCAAGCTGGTGCAGATATTAACAGACAGGTATGACATCAGACATATACTCCGCACACACACACACACGCACTCTCAAGGGGAGAGGTTTATGAGGGATGGATAGGTTTGGGAGATTATTTTTGGCATCAATTAATGGAACAAAACAAATGGTATTGTGCAATGTGTGAACTTACTGGGGGAAATGAAGGAGCTGCAGAGTACGTGTGAACAAAAATGATTAAATTGTGTGTGCGTGTATAAATGTATATATTTCAAAAAGCTGAACAGCAAGAGACGCTGATGTATGAATGAAAAGAGCAGAGCGGTGCGGGCGGTTGGGCTCAGATGATCCCATCAAAGAGGATCATTCTAACTTGGGATCACGGCCCCGGCAGTATCACTATATACTTGGCCACTTGACCTATATTTCACTTTATGTGCCAATCACATTTTCTGCTAAACTACTTGCTCTCAGACTGCGGGGTGTTTTAGCTTGTCGCATCTTTTCCTCTTCACGCACAGGGTCTATATTTTCTGCTCTGCTGCACCGCTGACAGAGATTGGATTAGTGGGTCACTGTGACATAACATATTGTCGTCATTGTGAGGCTCGTCGTTGCTCGCCAAAGCCTGTGAATGTTTTCGGGGCTTTTTGGAAAAACGGGAGGTTTTGTGATATCATTTCTGTGTGTTTTTTTTTTTTTTTTTTAAATATTCAGAACTGATTGGTGTTTGACTGCAAAAGGCCAAGCGGGGCCTACATTACGCTGAGGTTTAAGGCAGCGTTGGAGCTTTATTTTTTTTTCCCCTCCTCCACCTTCTCCTTCCACTCTGACAAATGTTACAGTAGATGTGTGTGGGTGGTGGTGAAGTCTGGGTGAAAAGTTCAGGCTCTGCTTTGAAGAGTCACTCCCCGTAATAGTTTCTGGATTGTGTCCTTGGAAATTAGAAAAAAGAAAAGGAGGAAGTTGCAAAAGATATATCTTGATTTAAACCAAAAAATTAAGACGCGCACAGATTTGTTGTCTGCAATGTTTGGGCTCATGGTTTTGTTCATGTCATCACTCAGGACTATGTGGGCGAGACGCCCATCCACAAGGCTGCTCGTGCGGGCAGTCTGGATTGTATCAACGCTCTCTTGATTCAGGGAGCGAAAGCTGAGTAAGTCCTGTGATCAGTGCTGCGCACCCATTTTTTTTCTTCTCTGTACTATCCAACATTTTAAGTTACACCTTTACAAGGGATCACCATCAAATAGAAATCAGAGTCCTGTTTTAAGCCTTTGTGAGGTTTCTTCCTCTTTCTTTTTTTAATCATAAGATCTACAGATTAACCCTGCAGGTCTAAAGAAAGGAATTCTGGGTTGTGCATAAAGTGTTAAAGTAATGCACTTCACAGCTTGTGAACGCTCTCTTAAAAAGTTTCAGAGGACTTCCAGAAGACCTAAAGACGAGTTGACGATTCATGAAATAGCATTGTGAGCTATCTTATCTTCATCTGTATTTCTGGAGAAGAAGTTGAATTGGCTTCTGATCTTGAGGTGTGTGGCGTCCGCAGCATTGGTGGTGCTCCCTTGAAAATGTGAATATATTTTGTTAACCCTTAAAATTGTTGTTTGTCATTGCAACAATTAGCATTAAGTTGCCCTCTGTGTGTAATATTACTAGCTCATATGCCTTAAACTTATGTTGTATGCTTGATAAGTAACATTTTTATGCTCTTAAAGAACACACTTTTATTTTTATCTTAATTGGACAGCCAGGTGCTGGTAAAAGTAGATCATTAACCCGGCACAGCGCTTTTGATCTTTTGAATGAATGGCCCCATCAGTCCAGCACAGTTATTGCACAAGAAGGAGGACAACTTAATGTAAAGGTTGATAAACTGTTTATTAATTAGTAGGTTATATTGCATGATCTTTGTTAAAACTAGTGTGGTTTATTTTAACATTTGTTTTTGGTTAGTGTCTGACATACGCAGCTTGACTGGATGACCAAATGCACATTACTTATTTTCTAAGGTGGCTTTTACTGCTAATGTGGAGGAAAAAAGAGGCATTGTAACAATTGTTGCATAGAATGAAAATGCACAAAAAACCCAATGTTGAGCTGCTTATTTGGCAGGTAAAAACAGAAAATATAGATTTGTAGTTTGCTTCGGTTTTAATTTCACGGCACACCTTTGTCTGCTCGCGCCGTAATTATTTTAAAAACATTTTGTAACTGCAGCGTGCACAATAACAAGAGATGAAACCTGCATTTCCTGTTTTCTTTTTTTAACTTGGATGCTCATAGCAGACATAATGATTCGAGAGTAATTCCTCAGAGATGAGAGAAAAGATTTAAATGACCTGCAGCCAAATTCCTGCAACAGAAGTATGTTTTCATCCTTGTTTGATTTTAGTTCAAATCACAGGTCTCTGCCTGTTAATATTTTGGCTCAGAGACACAAAAGATTTAAGTTGCTGTCAGTATCTGGTATGTTTTCAAGTTTATGCAATAGATTTATAGCCTTTATTTAAAAAAATTTTTCTGTGCCCCTCAGCTAAAGTTTTAATACGCCACCTGCAGTTCCATTTTCTGCAACAGACATTCTGCCTCGTATTTGTTGTACAGTAGAAGCACGGAGACCCGAAGCAGCAGGGGGGTTGATGTGTGTAGCTTTCGGGCCAATAAACCGGGAATCGCTCAGTACTATTACTAATTGAATTAATGACTGTAGTATTGGCAGAGAGTTGTAGTAATTAAAGTCATGTTGTAAGGAGGTTAAAGAGACTTTGTATGATTTAACTCTGATTTAATCTCCTAATGCAGCAGCTCTGTAGACTATGGTCCTGTTTTTGCTGCAGTCTCTAGTGCCAACTATCCTACTATTTTTAGACACTTTTTTTATAAAGGTAGTGGATGCACAGCCTTCCAGGTGGGCTTACCTTTAGTATATATTTACCTCTGTAATGAAAGATGTGAAAACAGAATACAGCAGGTATTACACAGCCTGCCCATGGCAGATGAGACGTTTCCCTAAATGCAGACGTTCACACAGAATGGATCTCTTTTAAAGTAAGATGCAGCTTTATTTACACCAACTAAAACCCCCCGGTTGCTTGGGCAGTTTCAACCAATCATAGCCACAGCTTCCAACCAGATACCTGAGTAAAATTCTTCCTACTTTACCTGAATGTGCATTTGGTTATCGTTGATGTTATTTATGATTCAAATGATGTGATATATATGTATTTTTTTCCTCTACAGAGCAAAGATATTCAGTTTAGTTTATTACCAAGTCTGTTTATTTCCTTTAATTATTTTTTCATTTTGATTTATGATGCAGAAATATAGTGGGGCACAACTGGGAGGGAAACTAAAGCACACAAGGTGGGAAAGAGGCTCATGACAAGAAAACAAACATAACTTAGTAAGTCACTGCTAAATAATGCAAATAATTCTAGCTAATATGTATTTTTTCAAATGTTGCTTTCCTTTCCCTGAGAAAAGGAGCTGCTATTCAGACCTAATAAAAAAGGATCTAGCTGAAGGGAATATCTTCTGAAAAACCGCTTCCAATAAACAGTGTATATGAAAGCAATGCTAGACTCGGACTAAAGTTCTTATAAGCCAAAATTAGCGTTGTTGTTTTTGTAAAAAGAAAAAGATGCTATATAAAATTAACTAATTAAATGAATTAAGTCCCTATATGTACCAGATTTAAATTGAGAATGTATTTTTGTTGTTTTAAGTAAAGGCTTTAAAATGTTTTATTTCTAACTGATGTAAAGTGTTTTTTAAATTGGCAGCTGTCCATGTAAATAAATATCAGTACCGTTGGAAAAGAATAATTTAATTCAACCATCATAGCTTGACTCAAAAAAAAAAACAAAACATTTTCAACACATTTTCAGAATAAAAAGATCCTTCATTGTTAAAGGGTGAGACTTCCTTTAATTCTAGGCTCAAACTAAAAAAGAACAATTTCAATTTCAATTTCAATTTTATTTATATAGCGCCACATCACAACAACAGTTGTCTCACAGCGCTTTCCAAACAGAGCAGGTCAGACCCTACTCTGAAGTTAACTACAGAAACCCAACAATTCCCACAGAACAGACACATCTTCCGTGTCATTCTAGTCCTGGAGTCTTTTTGTCTGTCAGCCCTGTGCGGTGGTTTCTTTTACAGCACGTTGAAGCTCTCAATGCCCCTTCACTTCTGAATAATTCTCATGAACTCTACGGCATCAGGTATTTATGGATCTGATTCTCTGTCTACAACAGGACTCGGTGCGTCATGTTATTGAACAATGAGCACACTGGCAGAGTTGTGTGCATCTCTTTTCTTGAATCTGAATCCGTCCTTGGCTCACTGCACTGTTGGGCGTCCTTTTAGTCTCCTTGAGAATCTGTTTTCTTCATTTTCTTCATCTTTCTTTGACAAGTCAGTCATCAGCATTCCTGACCAGTAAACTCCATTCTTTGGATATATTTTCGAATCCTTGGCAGCTTGGGTATATCCTGCTTTTCATCCCACTCGAGTTTTTCGATGTCTGGAAATGAAGAAGAGGCAGAGACGAAGATGACATAAAACAGTTCCTTCTTTGATTTATAAGGATGATCTGCACATTCTCTCCAAATTTCCTCCTGCTGGTCTTGATAATGGCTCAACAGCACTGCATAAAGTCAGCTGGAGTTAGTTTTTCCGTTTTCTTGATATGACAGCTTTTCCTTTACAGACCAAACATGTAGTCCTCCTGTAGTTATCCTCCTTTCGGGTAAAAATTAAACATACTCGTGGTCTAGTCCTCCCTTAAATTAAATTCAATTAAAAAAAATGGGTCGCTCTCCCATCCACGTCTTGTCTTTGCAGGCTTTCATTTAGATGCATTCTGCATTAAAATAATAATCCATTAGGAAAACAAAATCCTTTTTAATCATTTTTGTCGCTCATAATAATTAAAATACAAACTTCTAAACACCAAGGTCAGTGTAGTTATAAATGCAAAAAAATGCTCTAATCGATAACATTAAAGAAGGCATTTAAAAGAAAAAAGATATTTTTTTCCAAATATTTTCCAAATCTACAAATCAATAGCAAACTTAATATTTTCCTTTAATTCCTTCTCAAGTTGTCATGAGCCTCAGAATGTTTAGCTGGTCCAGCAATAAGCAAGCAGTGGGTAGGACGGTGCTCGGAGGCTGCCAGTGACGAGAGTAGTGCAGACATGCTAAAAGCAGCAGAGTGAGATGGGTTAGATTTGCACCGCATCATGCACTCACCTGTTTAATGCTAATATCATCCTGTTGCAATGGTTATTCACTGTCATTTCACTGTATGAGATATTTTACTTTATACTCAGAAATGTTTTCTTTTGTCTGTCTCAGTATTAACCCTATACAGTATCATAGTCTGTTTTGACATCTAATCCTTGTCACCTTTTCCTTTATGAAAGTGACAATAAGTTACGAAAAAGTTTGCTATACTGTTAACCAGAACCAGAACCGTACATCTTAATGTCTTGCAGCCATTGAATTGGAAATGACTTGGTTTTTTCAAGTAATCCTAGAAAGGGGGAGAATAGACACTGCTGAGTCTGCCCCGTTCCCTGGGATAGCCGCACTGTTGTGGCATTGAGTGTTCTCACTATCGCTTCCTATCTACACACTGGCAAACTGTTGAGGTATTTCTTGCGGTGATTGGTTTTAATGCTAGGTTTTTTATGAATCAAACTAAAGTTTTAGACCTGCATGCTTTGCTTATTATCCATGATTGTTCCTGTATTTAGCCTTTTTATTTTTTTATTTTTTATAACTTGTTTTTGACTAACCATAGGAGTCCTTTAAATGGACAGGTTTAATCACGTGAGTCCCATGTCAACATGTAGCATGACAATAGGCTGCCTCTGGAAGGTTAGACCATAGTTAGAGAAGATGCATATTGTGTGCTTAGGACTGAAAAGCAAAGCATACCAGGCATTTACAGAGAATTAACGCTTCCTTTTTCAAACAACTGCAAAACGTGGGTTATCACTGTGTACACGCGTCCATCTTTTTTGGACCAGTGTTTGCTGTAGAAGGTCGGTCTCACTCGGAGGAAGAATTGAATATTAAAAAAAGGAATTTCTCTGAAGTCTTGATCTGATTTGAAGGCAGTTTGAAAGTTGTAGTGATTTAAAAAGTCCAAAAGAAGTTGGTTCATTTGATTATATTTGAATAATCTTTTTTTAAAGAAAAAAATCTTTTGAAACGTTCTATAGTTGCTAATTAATCACTGTATGTTATTCAAAGTAGTGTGTTCTAACTTGATCTGATGGCCCATGATATGGCGATCATGTAACGCACAACATAATCGGAAGACATAGGATTGTCAAATTTGACTTGGCAGTGTTATAATTGCCTTTCACGACATTTTTATTTATTTATTTTTAATGAATGTAATGAGGTCATCATAAGACATGTTTTTTACTGTGAGACCGGGCCATCTACTTCATCCCAAAATGTTTAATTTAAAAGATAAAATCTGGTTTAAGACTTCTGGAAGCGTTAATTTTGATGGGGACGGGTACTGTGCAACAAGTTATTGTGTGATCTTTTTTTTTTTTCATTTATTTATTTTTTATATTCAATTCTTAATAAAAATGTTTTTTTTTCCATGTGCACTAGTTCATCAAATGTTTGTTTTTGCACAACTGTTTAGATAAAGCAGAGAATAAGCTATTTTACCCAAAATGAATGACCAAACCAGAGCTGTGTGCTTTATATTCTTCTTCCTCTGTGTGGAAGCTAATGTCATTTAAGTTTTTAGGGTTAGCTGTAAATAACTTGGAACCGTTCGGTCACAAATAACCCGCCACCTGCATCTGAGCGCTACGTCATCTAACCTGTACAGATGTTTGCATCTGATGTGGCCTGTAGACAGGCTTTACTGCCTTTCTTCTGCTTTTCAGTCAGAAAAAGTATTACGTTTGGATGCGGGCCAGTCGTCCCAAAACGTTTGACAAAGACTGAGCTGTTTCAGTAGAGCGCCCATTTGGCATTGTGATGACATGTTAGGTTTGGAACAAGCGAGGTATTGTTTTTGCAATTGGCTGATGGCGGACAGAGAATTCCCCACCATTAAGCGGGAGGGCATGCATTTGTTACTTTTTTTTCTTTTTTCCTATTTTAATAAAGAATTGGCGAGCATAGCCCTTCACAGTATTCCCCCCTCACCTTCAATTTGAATAATGACAGGCAGGAATGAGGTTTTTCTCGGGTAGAATTATTTTCTTTCTTACTTTGAATTAAAAACTTTTTTAAATGTATTTTTTTAAGAATTCCTGCTGACATTGCTTTCACACTAGAGTAAGAAACGTTGAGTGTCTAATTTCAGGGAACAAACAAAAAGACAAAGCACTGTTTGCTCATTCATTATTGCACATAGAAAGTCACTTTAATTCCTGCTGCAACTGGACATGATGAACACAACTACATGTGCCACGCAGACTCTGCTTTGAGTCTCTAATAGTGTGACCTGGTCTTCTCTTTCTACTTCTCCTTTTTTCTTCCTTCCATTGTGGAAAAAAGCCGAAGACAAAGTATTTATTCCTTTGACGTGGCAAGAGAAGATGGACAGATCTCTGATGCCCCTGGCCTGGGTTTGACCTATTGGTCCAATCCTCTTTTGTTGTCTCTTGAAGACACAGCTCTTACACCCAGGTCCTCTCTGGATGAAAACCTTTATTGGAATTCTTTGCTCGGTCGGACTGTTGTCCGTCTTGTCTTGGGAACGCAGCCTTTTTCCCGTTCCCTCTTGAACGCATCCATTCTTTTCAAGAAACGTCCAAAGCAACATGGCCATGCCATCATAAGGAAATCTGGGTGCCTTCTTCTGCATCATGTGTTTGAACCAATAGAGGGAAGATGTCCAACCTGAGGCAAATGCCGCTTCTTGAGGTTTCTGACGTTTCTTGACGCCCTCCTCGGGATTCAGAAGCCGGTCGGACACCGCTGCCAGATGGCCTCAGATAGCCGGTTAGAAATTAAGCAGCTCGTGTCCGTAGTTGTCTTAAGCATGTCCTCTTGCAGCAGATCCGTTTCTCACATGAAAACTGGTGAATAATTTAAGTTCTGTTTAAGATACAAGTGATCCTTTAAAAAAAAAAAAAAAGACAAAAGGATCAGTCGTCATCTCACATGAGGATGACGAAAGATGAAGCAAAGGGTAGTGCAGCACAGGCTATTTCTGTTCATCTGTGATTTATTATGTGCACATATTTGCTTAATGATTGCGTGTGTGTATGTATGTATGGTATGTGTGCGTGCGTGCTTGGGCTTGTCTTTTTTTCTTTGTTACTCTTTTTTTGTCTTATTTTTTGTGTCAGTCAAAGATACAGTGAGTGTCCCTAACACTCCTCCTTCCTGTTGTGCAGCATGAGGAATGCCAGTGGGCTGACGGCCGCTGACCTGGCCCACGCACAAGGATTCCAGGAGTGCGCTCAAATTCTCGCCAATGCCCAGAACCTCCAACAAAACATGGCTCAGTCCCACAACGGGGCTTTTCTGAATGGCCAGAACGGGGGCCACGCCCACCCCACCATCCAGGGACGCAGCTTCTTGAATGGCATGCCCAATAGAAAGAGGTCTTTTGATGGCATGGAGGCAAACCCAGGGAAGAAGCATAGACCTAACGGTGGGTCAATGTGTTTATGAGGAGCTCTGTTTGGGGTTACTCTCAACATATGACTGTCTGTTATTCAAGATTAAAAGAATCTTTATTAATCCAGAGGGAAATTGCTGTGCAGCACTCGCGATACAAGGGGAAAATAAATCCAGCTAAAGTAGTTTGCAATTGTTTAAAGTGACCAGTGATAAGTCATTGTGGCAAAAACATGAGGTAATAAACAGAGAATTGAAAAATGATTGTGACAATTGATAAGAGACAAATTATCTGGTGTGTGTGTATATATATATTTTTTATTGAAGTATAAAGTCTTTCTGAATTTTAAATTTGGAATTCACTTCAAACAGGTGAAGTATTAGGATGTAGTTAGTAGGCTTGGACTGTATTTATCAGTTAGATTAGCATTATATAGTGACGAGTTTCTTTCAAAAGAAAAAGCCCTGGCGTAATCATTGTTGTGTGTGGCTCTCTCTGCTCCCAGGCATGTGCGTGCCACTGGAGCTGCTGAACGGGAACAGGCCACTAGGTGGCACTGGAGAAGGCCAGATGGAGAGCATTAACGCGGGGATGGCGGCGACCGTGACCTCAGGTGGGCCAGGAAGCTTTGCGGTGGGGCTGAATGGGTTTGCGCCGCCTCACGGGCCGGGGCTGATGGACCAGTGTTCGGACGCGGGGGAGCAGGACGGCCTGAACCCCGCAGCCAAAGAGCCGGAGGTCATCACTGTGGCGTCCATGCAGACGCCCTGTCGCTGCACTAACTCGTACGCCTACCTGTAGGCGTAACACTTACGTTCCCATGTGTATTGTTTGACTTTTTTTTTTTGTTTTTTTTTGTGGCGATTTACATTTGAAAGGTTTGTTGCAACGCGTGTATGAGTGCTACGTTTTATACTTTTCCATATTACAGATAATACGTGGGCAGGTAAAAGTACTAAGAGTTTCTTTGTTATGTATCTATATATTCAGTCCATCCATTGAGCAATACACATAACTGTCATGCTGTTGTCAGTATTTGTGTTGATGACAAAACAATGTTTTGTTTTGCACAATTTTACGGCAGCATTAGAACTGCAGAGGGTCGCCTGAACGTGGGAGCCTTCGACTTATGGGAACGTCATTAGATTTCAGCCGCAGCTTTTCAATAGATGAACAAAAAGTGATTTAAAATGAGCTTTTGTAAAGTTAGAGGGAGTGCAGGTGCTATTTGATGGAGACTCAAAGCCTGAGGGAGTGGCTGTTTATTTTCTGCAAAAAATGGGAGCTTTTTGTGTTTTTTTTCATTTTTAAAAAATCATTTTATGCCAAAGCATATCCCAACATGAATGTATCTTGTAAAGAATAACCAACTTAGCATGCAGCTTTCTGGTAGTTTTTAGGGCTCTGGTACTCACCCAGAGGTTCCTCTGTTCGCTTTTGTTTCCTGGGTGTGTAGTTTAGTTGATGTCTGCTGTGTTAGCAGTGGACGCTGAACACAGAGTATTCCCTGTGACTTTCAGTTTGACAGTTGTATCTTTTACATTCTGTAGTAACTCATGACACTTTCCATTTGTAAAATATTTCTAAACTTTGGATAAAAAGTCTTATTTCTTGAATGACTTTAAATAGTTGAACATTGTTTGAATTTCATGTTTTATACAAAGAGAAGTTCAGCTCTCTGCATATTGTAATGCAGTTTTGCTCAGATTTTTCTTTTTTTTCCCCTTTTCTTCCTCCTGGCAGAAGCTGAACATATATTTGGAGCTGAACACATTTAGCTTTGTACATGCTGGTAAAATCATTAAATGTGGATAGATTTTTGAATTGGGATTGTGTTGGCCCTTGTCTTCTTGGTGTTCTTTCATGCATCTGTCAGTCTTATCTTTTTATTTTTCATTTTTCTCATGTAAAATGAGCTTTGCTGGGTTAGAAAGATTTCAGATTAATACAAACAAAACTGAAAAAATTAGATACGTCAACACAATATACCAATATTTCTGAATTGAATCCATCCTGCCATTGTGTTGGATTACATCACACTGACCGGAAGGTTTTCTTTCCTTCTTTCCAATTGAATGTAATGGAATTGGGTCACATGAGGCTGCAACTGCGTCAGAACTACAGATCAGAATGTGACCTGTTTTACACAAGGGCGCCGGTCAAGGCTTGTGAGGTTATGCAAGCCTCTTGAGTGTAATTTCACAATTTATTGATCACATTCAGTATGTAATCCAGAGGGTTATGGAACTTTTTTTTTTGGAGTGTGTTGAAACCGAGTCACATAATGGTGTCTGAATGATTCTGCAGTTGAATGTCCAGAATAACTGCTTGTAAAAGTTGTGCAAAACAAAATAGTTTTTTTTTTTCTCTCCCTCTATCTTTATTATATATTGTATATTGGCAGAGTTGGATCAAAACTTAATGGTGTACATGCTTGCTTTTTTTTATTCTTCTCTTTTTTTTTTGACAATTTGCTTTCAGTGGGAGGTGAGGATTTTTCCTTAAATGACCCAGCAGTAGGAATGTTCCTTGGCCAGCACATCTACAGTGATTCACCTGAGATCAGTAGTACTGCGGGCAGCCAGGTGGAGCACCAGAAGTCCGTGAAAGCAGAGCAGTTGTATGACCATACCCTCTTCAGCACCATGCTTCTTTACCATGGATCCTAAAGTATAAAGGATCTGACATACAGGCTATATTTGATTTTGGTAATTTGTTTTTTTATGCCTAAATACGCATTCATTCGCCTTAAAGCCACTGAGTGGTTACATTTGTTAGTTCAAGTTAGTGTCCCTTATAAACAATGTTTTAAAAAGTAGGGCCATTTCTTTGGATGGATATTAAATCTGTTTCAGAAACTAAGTGGAATTATGTATGTTAAAGAGAAAGTGTATGTTAAGCTTATTGTTTGATTGTTTTGCAAATGTTCTGGGAAAAAAAGCTAAAACATCTGTAACGAAGCACTGCCAATATTTAAGTTTGGTTTATTTCAATTTGATGTTACTAAAAGCAACTAGGATGTTCAGTATAACTCATGATTAAAAACGTTTTGCAAATGACAACGCTTGGTTGTTTTTGTTCTATATTTAGTTTGAGCTATATATAAAAAATGACCCCATACATACTGAGCCTACGGCTTTCAACGTTTTGTTTATGTTTATTTGTTTAAATATCCTTCTAATAAAAGGAATGTGGGTGTATTGTCTTGGACCCACTGGTGGGTATAGAAAACCACTCCAAATGTGGCGGATTGGACCCTTGGAGCTGCCTCACGTGTCGGAACACACCACACCTGTCACCAGAACCGACCTTCATCATATTTGCGCTGCACAAACATCGCGTCACACTGGCCACGCCCCTTGGCAAAAGACGTCCTCATCATTAAAAGGGGCGATGCCATTTAGTTAAAAAATAAAACATAGTGTTTAAATGTAAATATCTTCGTACAGTAGTATGTATCATGTTTTAATATACTTATAATGTTTACAATGTAATTTCTAGTTTTCTTTCTTAATAAATCAAACAGTTATTTTCAATCTTGCTCGCTCTTCCCACCCCCACAAACCAATGGTATCTTCCAGTAAATCTATCTGGACTATCCGGAGAATCAGGGTTGTCGAGCTAGCGACGGCAAACGTCGGCCCCCTGACAGGGATTACTGTGAACTTGTAAAAAAAAAAAAAAAAACAGTAACTACAATTTAAGGTTTTGATTAAGAAAACCATATTTTTGCCAGAAAGCTGAAGTTAAATAATTAATACAGAATTTAAACCATGTCAACCCCGGCTAGGAGAAGACTTATGAGAGATTTTAAACGGTGAGTCTATATTCTGAAATTATGCCGATAACGATTTGTCTAAACAGCTAGCATTAGCTTAGCTTACGCTATTTTAGTAAAGCTAACCCTTGTGTTTTAAGGGTAGACTAAATGACCCAACTCCATGGTTCAATGCAGTTATAGCACCGACAGATACCTCCATCTTTTATTTAAGTGAACCTGAATAATTTATTAAAATGTTTAATGTTTAGAGATGTAAAGTAGCGAGAGGCTAATAGCGGTAGTTGATACACGTTAGCAGCTTACTGTTACAGTCCAGGACGGCAGGCTAATTCTAGACTAGCTAGCTTTTAAATGTCCACCGGGACTGGGCTGAAACTTTGATATACATGGCTAATGTGGCAAACTCTGCTGTTACGTCTAAAGGAGTCGGATTTTCTTTCTGCTGTCGGCTTTGAATGGTTAGGTTGGCACGGCTGTTTAAACGCATACGGGCTCACATTTATTTGAATGATAATTTACGTAATTGTGGCCGTTATTTCTCCAATAACAGGAGACTGACCATTGCAAAATGACGTTGTACCTCGTAATTCCAAGAAGAGAAACATTAGGTGACGGCGGAAGCCACGATCTGTACACGGTGGGCGCATTTTGTGCCGTCAGCATTATGCAGGTTGTTTGTAACCGTAACGGAACACACTGTTCGGGAAATTGCATTGCCTCGTTATTTGAAGAATTTTTCTTAGAACGTCATTGTGGGAAACGTGTGATCTTTCCCCCATTTTGTCAGCTTTCTTTGGGGCTTAAGTTTAGAATGGTTTAAACCTTCCTATGTGAAAATGAATCATTGGAGTTTTTACAAGTCCAGGAAAAGTCAGGAATTTTTCGCGCGGGCCTTTCCAGGTGTTGCCAGAGGTTTGCTGTGGGCATAACATCTGGCGTTAGGTTTCGTAATTTTGAGGAAAAAGTTTCAACTTGGGTCTTTGTAGAAATCTTAATCAGGCTGCTTTGTGTTAAGGCTTTGATACTTCTTTATGTGTGTGTATACAGGCCTCCTTATTTCTCTGTATTTGTTAATCAGTTTGACTGTATTAAGACTAAATAACCCATACCTCTCCCCCCCCACAACTCCTTCTGTAGTCCCTCTACCTCTATCTCTATCTCACCACTGACTCTGATCAGTGTTTCTCCTCTCCTCTATATAGCTTATTGTCATTGTGATGAGAAATGTAATATTGTGTCTACTCTGTAAGTCGCTTTGGATAAAAGCGTCTGCCAAATGCATAAACATAAACATAAATAATGATCTAGCAGGCTTATTGCACACAGTGTAGACTCATCTTTTCAACACTTATTATTTGTCAAGACTGGCATATCAATGCACAGTACTTTGGTTGTCTAATAGTACACACTGACATTATGTTGCTCTCTTACAAATGTATAATTCTGCCATTCTAACCTGTCTGCATATTTAAATACATTCAATAAGTGACAAGATTCAGGTCCTCTGCCCTAACTTAACTAATCATCTCTTAATGTGCGAAGTCCTGAGGACCAATCATCCCTTTCTTTTCATCATAAAGGCTACAAGAGGATCCTCCAGCTGGAGTCAGCGGTGCCCCATCTGAGAACAACATCATGGTGTGGAATGCTGTCATATTTGGGTAAGAAGCTGAGCTTTGTTTGAAAGGTGTCGTTTTTTTTTTGTAGTTTTGTGCATCAAGTCTGGATTAAATAACAGGTGGTTTCTCTTCTTAATCTCACAGCCCTGAGGGAACTCCCTTTGAGGATGGTAAGTACCTTACCTTTGTAGTTTAGGCATTCAGAATTGAGGAAGGCGTTTCAGTCTAACCTTAGTGTTTTAGAATTAGTTTGATTTTTTTTTTTATTCTTGTAATCTTCCAGTAGATCTGATGCCATTTCCCTTCTTGTCCTCTCAGGTACATTTAAATTAATTGTAGAATTCACTGAAGAATATCCAAACAAACCCCCCACAGTACGCTTTGTGTCAAAGATGTTTCATCCAAATGGTGAGTTTGAGTTTTTTTGTTATTAGGCGACACTAGTGCGTGGTGTATAATGTTTTTTGTTTTTCCACAGTCTATGCAGATGGCAGCATATGTCTAGATATCCTACAGAATCGCTGGAGTCCGACTTACGACGTCTCCTCCATTCTTACATCTATCCAGGTAAGAAACCAACACCGACAACACTTAAATATTGTTTAATATATGAATCATAAAAAGTTAGCAAGATATGAACCCCATAAATGTGTCGGTCATCACTTAACCCATAGCTAACCTCTCATATTTTGAGGAAAAACAGCTTGCTCATACCACTTCCTTTCTTACAGGAAGAATTCCTGTATAGTGTGTGGCTTATGGACCTTTAATTAACTTTTCCACCAGTGTCTAAAGAGTGAACAGAAATGTTTTTTTTTTTTAGTACTTGCTTGTGTTTTAATTGTTTATTAGTTTTTGTGGTTATTGGAATGTTCTGGAATATTTTTAGCCCCGTTAAATTCTGCTGTCGAGCTCTTTTAAAGAGCTAAAAACAGTGTGGTAGACTAAAGCGATGCGGGCCGGCTAACGTTCAGGGCTTTCCTCCTTCCCCTGCAGTCCCTGCTGGATGAACCCAACCCCAACAGTCCCGCCAACAGTCAGGCAGCGCAGCTGTACCAGGAGAACAAGCGGGAGTATGAGAAGCGCGTGTCTGCCATCGTAGAGCAAAGCTGGAGGGACAGTTGACCCGGCAACCTGCTGTCTGTGGCCCAGCCGTGTGTACTGCGAGTTTTAGTGGAGCTCCTCTCTCCTCTCTGCTCCCCTCACCGTTTTAATTTCTAGCTTTTATGCACTTTACCTTCGATTTCCCTCAAAGATTTTTCTCACTTTTATTTTCTCCCTTTTCTAGTCTAACAAGGGAATCGTTCTGAATCTTGCCTTGATGTTTCAGTCCAAACTTTAGGGCCACCAACCACCGCCACAAACAAACAAAAAAATTTCTGGTGTGTACTTGCTGTTGTAGCTCCCCATGACTTATTATGCTAAATGTTTTCAAGGGGTGCAGCAATCAAGTCATGGGACCTTTTTTTTTTTTTCTGTTTTCTTCCGTTGTTGTGCGCCTGACCTGTTCAGTCAGTTTCTTTTCACGAGGCATTGGAAATATGAGCAGCCTGAGAATCACGGACTACTACGCAATCAAACACCTTCTTTTGCTGTGATGTGAACTGTTACATGCATGACATAGTGTGGTCTCAATCCTGTTCAGCTCTCATGTATATAAAGGAACCTGAAATGGAAATTATGTACAGATTTTGCACTGGTTGTCTCTCCCCTCCCCCCATGTTACTTTTTCCAGTTCTTGTAAATAAACAAAGGCAAAGTCATCCTTACAAGGCTTACAAGGTTTTATTCAACTAGAAATGACGAACATCATTGACCTTTAGGGTTTGTTTGAATGTCTTGATACTCTTTCTTTTATTATTACTTTGGAATCTTAATGGACTCTTACTTTTGTAGCCCTATCACCACCAACAGGTAACACCTTTCTGTTTACAGATTCAACTTTTCTCCCAAAGGCAAAACATCTACCCAGGATATAAAAGCTACTTTTCTTAACCCAGCCGATCTTATTTTAGGGGATCATTCTAAGCAGCATGGGCTCCCTTCCAACAGGTAAAATTATATTTTGCTGTCTACTTAGAAGAAAGAGTGACCTACTTATGTTTTGCATACAAAAGCCCTCTCATGTTTGGTATTTTTACTCGTTAGATGGGTGGCTATAGCTCAGCACGTGATGATGCATGCACGAGGGAGACAAAGACAGATGTAGGTGCACAACAGCTCTTTACAAACATGCACGTGGTCCTGTTCAGCACTGTGTCTAGTCTGCACAAACACTACCAGCAGATGGAGGAAAATCTTGTTTCTCGGCTATACGGCACTTAAAAAAACTTTGTTTTTTAGCAAGATACCTCATATCAATCCAACACACTGCTTTTCAAAACCGACGCACGTTTTTACATGAAAAGTGTTCGTTGAGAGGGCAGAGCAAGCTACCTGTTGTAAGCCCTCTCCTTCTTGGCCCTCTCCAGGGCCTTGTCCATGGTCTTTTCATTCTCTCCTCTACACTTGGGGCAGTACCACTTGCCCTTCGGCTTATGATGCAGCCCCACACAGGAGAAATGAAACCACTCGATGGGACACTCGTCGTTGTCGCAGCCGATCATCTCGCCGTAGGACACCTGCTCACAGAGGCAGTACGTGGGCTCGTCTGGATCTATGGGCAGGTCTGGAGGAGACACCTCCCTCTCCGACTTTCCTTTTGACTTCTTCTTCTTCTTGGAGGACGTTTTGGCCTTCTTCTCCCGGGACGCCCCCACTTCTTCAGCATGATCCAGACCGCTGTAGCTCTCGCGGTTTTCTCCATTTTTCTGACGCCTGGAGCGTTTCCCTCCACTTTTGTCCCCTCCACCCGAGCCTGGGGTGAACTCCTCGCGCTTCTTATCGTGGTGGCCCGGTTTGCCGGGAGTGACCGCTGCTGATGAGGAGGACATTAAGGATGCTGCAGAGGTGGGTATGGACGCTGCAATGGGCACATGGCTCTCTGGGGTTTCTTGAGAAGATAGAAGAAGCTCAGAATGCCAATCTATCTGTCGGGTTCGGTTTTCAACCAACTCCACCTGCAGCAAAGAGCATGTTTGAGTGGATTAACTACTTCATTAAGTACTATTTCTAATGAAATAATACTGAAATGTATTTATTATTTGAATGTTCACATTCATTATTATTTCCTAAAGAAAATTAGTTATAAAAAGCCCAAAAATTATCTTATGAAACTATAGCCAACAGTAACACAGAGAACCCCCCCCATTTCATTTTAGATGGATATTTGGGAGCTGTTCTCACAGTTGTGCATATCCAGATTCTAAAATTGGGTCAATAAGCAATTTCACAGGATCAGATAAACGGTGTTCTTAACGTACCATTTGACCAGCAATCTGGATTTTTTCATCTCCCAGCTCCTGACTTCGGATCAGCGCTCTCTGAATAGATAGCTGGAGCTTGCGCCTCTGTAGTGAGTCTGATTCACGGCGATAACGCTCGTATGCGTCATCCAGCTCCTTCAGAATATCTGAACAGAAACAGATATAAAGGAAATCTTCAAATTCATGTATAAAAATGACGTTTGTTGATTCTACATTACTTTAAACATGCATTAATAATATATATTAGCTCGCTATGACTGAATAAAAACAAACATTCATCCAAACATCAGGGTCTACTTGATTTGGTTTCCGTACCTTGATACTTGGCATCAATTTCTTTCATGAGGGATACGCTTCTCTGGAGGTCAAAGGGCAGTGACTCCACCAGATCCAAATACTCCTCCACATAATTGACGACAACATGTCCCGGGTCACCGTTGGCCGGGTTCAGCATTGTAGGTGCTCCTCACCCCAGGGCTCTCCTGCACCTATTCACAGGAAATCATTCACTCTTAACGTTTTCACTGTGCTGCAGAGTCCCACAGCTCAGTTTACAACCGCACCTCTTTCCCAAGAGGCAGACCTCTAAAACGAAAGCTATAATAGATTCAAGTTAAGAAGTTACGGAGCACATCTGGAATTCGCTTCGGGTCCTTTTCAATACCGTCGGAGAGGACGTCAGTGGTCTTAGCAAGCTGTTTTCCCCGAAAATATGCGAGGTTACTTTAGCTATGGGTTAAGTGATGACCCGACACATCGCCACCGAACTAACCACAAAATAGAAAGTTAAAAAATAAACTTTTGCCGTCTCCATCAATCAAAAATGGAGGTCGAATGACGTTTTCGCTAATGCTAACGGATGCTAACGTGTCAGTCTAGTTCTAGTAGGTTTACGTTCATCAACGCAAAAGTAACGTTAAATATCTTATCTTAATTTTGGGGCTAGAATTCACAAGTCTTCGTAAAATCGCATCGATGTGAATTCTATTTAAATCAAAAGCCCACATCAGTCGCTGCTTGACAGTGGTAATGTTTATAGAAAATGTTTTGGTGAGGTTTCAGAACAGAACAGTCAAATATTTGGACGTGAAAACTTTAGAGTGCACCCTCACCACTAACATAGTATAAATCTCATGCTGAGTATTTTTTTAGACAAACAACTTAACGGTTCATGGTTAAACCGCCTAAGCTTTAATAACATTAGTCACTTTAAACGATCATATCTCACGTTCGCTTTGTATGTTAGCTAAATTAGCCTGCTAGCTTGTAACGCCACCAGACTAAATGTCGCACAAATCTAAACTAAACATAGTAAATTGGTATACAGTACTTTTTGCGTTGTAGAAAAATAGCGTGCAGGCGATCTTACCTGTAGATATATATATTTTTATGTATTATCCTGTCGTTTTTGTTGCCTGCACCAGGATTCGTGTAACTACTCCTGAGAGCGTCGGAGGTCCTTGAAGCTCACAGGCTGCTAACGTGTCTAAGGTTTTCACTGTGCGCATGCGCGGCACTTCAGAGCGCCAACAAAAGGCAAATACGCAGAATTTAAAGTTTTTTCTTTGCCTTGAAAATTAAGCACCGTGACAGGACCTTCCTTAAACTAAAACAGTGCATTCATTACAATTAAATACATCATAAAAAATCTAATATCTTTACCCGTTTGAAAATGTTTTATTTTGAGTCTATCCAGTAGTTACCATATACAGAATAAAATCCTTCTAAACCACAATGCAAAGTGTTTTAACAGACAGACCCACTCACGTTTTTTTAAATAAAATTTAATATAACAACTGACATGTTTTTAATCTCAGTATCTTTGGGGGAACAGTGAAAAATTAAACTACCCCTATGTCTGGTGTGAATGGGTTGTTTAAACTACATCAGAGACAGATTAGCAGTTTTTCTTTTATCTTGTTAATAGTTTAATTGAATATATTGAATCACATCCGTGTGTGTTTTTGTCCACCAACATCTCAACACTGTTTCTTTGAGTTGAAAATCCACAATCCTCCATATCTAAAAGGCCATTAAAAAAAAAAAGCCTGCTCATACATTTACTCTAGATCTTTATGCAACGAGCTGTAGTTTTTTCAGCTTTCAAACAGCTTCCTGAAGGCTGTTCCAATCTCCTGGATCATGTCTGAGGTGGTTGTGGACCTGCGGTGCCGCTGAAACGCTTGGCTGTTGCACTGTCTGGTGAGCGAACAGGCACCAAAGGCTGCAACCACTGACGGATTCAAGCTGAGGGACGATACAAAGTGGAAAAATGGCTTAGAAATTTACTGGCAAATCTGTCTGTCAATGAACTGGTATTGAACAATCATTAATTGTGCCATTAACTTCATTAAAACCCAGAGGCTCTCTCACCCTCTGATCCGGCCTGCCGTGGAGGCAGAGTGTGCCCAGTGAGCCAGGACTCCCATGGACCCGGACAGGAGGTCACCCTGTCCACCACATCTCCTCCCGCTGCCCTCCACACTGCACGAGTACACTAAAAACATCGGGAGAAGCACCAGACTCAATATGCCATCCGTCACATCGACGAGCAGCTGTGAACGCTTCCCGAGTCCGAGCTGTGGCTCTAACCCTTGCTGCCGTCTGTAATGAGATCCTGTTCACCCTTCAGCACCAGAGTGAGGTTACCCAGAGCCCCGCTGAGCTGCAGGACACTGCTCTTGAGGTCAGTGCTGTTCATGGGCTCGTGGTGCTGAAACAGAAACAGTATGGGGGGGGGGGGGGGGCATTGGCGCAGAAGAATCTTCCCATTAGCCAGCGACCAACTCTGCCCAGAGACCCACCAGTGCCTCGTACAGCCGGGTGAACTCCATGATGTTGGGCGTGAGGATGCCTTTGGGGTAGCCTTGGATAACAGATGGTTGCTGTGTAACCAGCCATAATCCATCCTGTTAAAAGCAACCACCAATTATTTAGGACTTTGCAAACAAGAGAGCATTTATTTGAGAGCTAATGCTTTTTTTTTTTTTCTCAAATCAAGACTCACTGCATCGATGACTATCGGGATGTCTCTTGCTTTGGATCTTTCTATGACTTCCTAAAAAGAGAGAAGATAGCACAGGAAACAGAAAAAAGAAGCCTGAATTAGCTTTTTAGCATTTTAGCAAAAGCAGCCACGATGAGGGAAAATATTCACCATACCTTGGCGTTTTTTAGCAAAAGGTCTTCTCTACCTAGACCTGGTCCCACCACTAGTCCATGAAGCCTTGGGAGCCACTTTTCTATTTCCTCCACTGCATGAGGACTGTCCCTTGATGGACACAAAGTAAAGGCATTGGTTTTGGGTGTGCACACAGCTAGGTAAAAGGGTTCAATAAGACATCAAAGATGTAGCATTCACAGGTTATAATAGCCCGCCATCATCATCAGCACCTACAGTTTTAAAAAATTGAGTTGAAACTAACTGGTCCTAATATCATATACGAATGGGTGACAGATCACAGGAAAAACAAAGCCAGGTTTGTTAGTAAGGGGCCTCGTCTGCCTTTGGTCTACTGGCTTTTGGGAAGCACCATGTTGTGAACAAATAAATGTTACTGTCGGTCAAACTGCATATTTGCAATCACAGAAATGGAAAAGATATGCCATGGTAGCAAGAAGCTCATAAAAAGTGCCTATGAATCCTATTTTGAAAAATAAGTTGTGCTAACAGTGCTTCATGCTTTGAGTTTGGAGCCTTTTTATGACTGAATGATTCATGGGTCAGTGTTAAGAAAACCCACCTTTTTCTGGAACGTTCTGGCCAGAATTAAATATTAAAAACTTTGGGTTTAAGCTGGAATCTGACAGCTGCTAAAGCTTACTGTTGACAGAGGATTTTCAGCGTCTGGAAAATCCAGTCAAAGTGACAAGGTGACGAATTAAAGTACTCACAAAACAGGATGAACTATGAGTTCGGGGCTGTAGGATTTGATTACAGTAGCAGCATCTTTGGTGCAGAATACATGGGACAAGTCAGCCCCCTGGAGAGGAGGGAAAAAAAGAGAGATTAACAAAAAAAAAAAAGAGGTCATGACTTAGACATTAACTTTAAACGTTCCCGTGAGTCATCAGAAGCACATCTTACCACTTTCAGTGCGGAGATGGCGGCGAAATATGGAGCTCCAGTGTATCTTTAGGGAATGAATCAGAGCAGAATTAGAGCAGATGTTCCACCCACTTACGAGTCACACCGAGGTCCGCTGAGCGGCTCTGTATTGAGGACAGCTCGTTTTACATACTCTTGGCATCCTCCAATAATCCCAATACGGCCATCTTGCCCCTTGTGCTTTTTGGAAGTCAGTGGAGGGACTATGCTCTTCACTAGTGAGGGGAGGTCATCGTCCATGCCTCTGTGCGCCGAGGAGCCCAAACTGTAGTAGCGCTCAAACACTGAGGAAAGGAAGACAAAGACGGTCAAATATCGGCCCACGAAAGAGCGACACGCCAACGCGATTTCATGTGACCGAGTGACCCCGCCCCCCAGCCGGGCGACCCATAGTGACCCCCCCCCCCTCTCGACGGCTCCAGCTCGGGTCCTCGCGCGCCGCCGCCGCTAATACCTAAAGTCTGGGGATCTGTGCTCTGCGGCCGGCTCTGCTGGCCCGGGCAGTCGGTCAGGGGCGAGGGGCGGCGGGCGTGGCCGGACGGGCCCAGGTGGTGCGACAGGGAGGCGGAGGAAATGACCGGGGGCCGGGGCGGAGGGGCGGCCTTGGTGGGGGTGGCGGCAGAGGAGACGGCGGAGAACATCTGGCCCAGCATCTGGAGCATGTGCAGCTCCCGGGCGTGCTCGGCCTCCCGCCGGCCGTCCTCGGCCGCCAGCCGCTGCTCCTCCACGCGGTAGAAGGCGTCCTCCGCCTGCGCGCTCTGCTGCAGGAACTGCTCCATCAGCCTCTCCATGGGGAAGGTGGAGCGCCGCTTCCGGGGACGCTTGGGCGTCCTGACCGGCAGGCCCCCGGCCGACTGACCGCTGTGATGCGGCCTCACCGTGGAGCCTGAAGAGAGAGAGACAAGAGGAAGGGTCAGCCGAGTTTTGGGCTGAATACAGGCAAGCTGTGGGAGGCTTCAGGGGCTGTGAGTGGACACACTTACTGTGACTGCCCACTGTCACTTTAACCGGAACCGGGATGGGGACGTTTGGGTATTCCAGCTTGACCTCGCTCTCTGCGGGGTAAAGACACTCTCCCATGCTTTCCGAGTAGCCGTCCTGAGCATCCTCTCCATCCTCCTCCAGCCCATCCCCGGCCTCCTCCGCTGCCCCCCCTCCTCCGTCCATCAACTCCCGGGGGTCAAGGGCCGGCCGGTTGCTTAAAATCCTCTCCATGGCGTCGTAGAACTTGCAGATCTTGTGATACTGGCCGTTGTTCCGCAGGTTGCCCTCCTTGGCCAGCAGGTACTGCCTCTTGAGGCTCTTGATGCGCACGCGGCACTGCTCCGGGGTCCGGTCGAAGCCCGTGGCCGCCAGCCGGCGGGACACGTCTCGGTACACGAAGCTGTTTCGGAAGTTTCCGTCCAGCGCCGCCTGGATGTCCTGCTCCCCCCAGATGTTCAACAAGGTCCGCGTCTCCACGTCCGACCACAGGAAGCCTCGCGTCGTGTTGGCCTGCATGGCTGACCCCCCCCCCCCCCACCACCACCACCCCCTTAAACCCGGAGGAGCCGGGCCGGAGACGTGGACGCGCAGATTATGATGGAGGTCCGCTCCGGATCCCTGCCCTCCGCCGCATCAGAGCCAACGGGGTGCCGCCAGCCCCCCACAACGTCCAGTGGCCATTTTGAGAGCGGGCAGGGACTCGGGCGAGAAAAATGTAACGGTCACTTTTTTTTTTTTTTTTTTTTTACTTTAGAATCATAACGGGAGCACGGGCGTGCCAACTCCCTGGCCGCTAGCTAAACATTAGCGGGTTTTTTTATCCCGTCGCGTCGTCCTTAAAAAAAAAAAGGAAAGCGTAGCTGGTACTTTCGGATAAAACCGAACGGGGGTCAGTTTCCATAGCTGTTTTTACCCCCCTTCCGCTCGGCAGGGGACATTTCCAAACTGACCTCTGATCAGTCTTCAAAGGTGATTTTTTTTTACCTCTCGCCGCCCGGCCCTCCGCCCAGTGAACGTATGCTAGGTGTCCGCGGGGTCCTAAAAACCCGGAACATTTATTTATTTATTTATTTTACAGACGTGGCTGTCAACCGCTCGGCCGACAGAAAGGTCTGTATCGGCGGGCAGTTGTGGTCACGCTACAGCCAGGGCGGTGTTGGGGGACGACATGTCGGGAGACACCCTGGACGTTACCTTTAGTGTCCGAGCAGAAGAAGAAGGCGACAGCAGCTGCCACGGCCACCGCCGTCACGCACAAGGCGAGCTGGGGCTGTATCTGAAGCATGGCGTTTTTAGTCTGTCTACCTGCGGCCAGCAAGCACTGCCAGCTCCCCCACGCGTGAGCAGACCACCCCGCTAAACGGACCCCCCCACCTCTCTCTTACCTACATGTCTCAACGCCGAAAAGTGTGAACCAGAAATCCTGATCATGAGGCGTTCTCGGTTCAGCAGTGCGGGAAGAGGAGGGTAACGGTGCCTTTAAACGCCCCTCGGATATTCCAACTTCAAAACAAACCGGAAGTCCTTTACAGAAAAGCCAAAAAGCCCGAGATTGTTTTCTCAAACTTCGCATGACAACAAAACTTTACAACAGTTACGGATATTTTCTCACTGGTTTCTTTGGTTTTGCGTTTTGTTCTTGTTGGTGAAAGACAAATATGTTTTCTTTCATTATGGCATTTCTATTAGATTTCATAACAACAGATGAGTAAAATCTGTACAGTCTTCATTTTAGAATTCACAGATCTGTATATTACTCGAATGGAATTGAAACTCTTGCTTAGAATGAGTAACTACTTCGATGGAGCATTTGGATGTAATAGTTTTCATAATAATAATAATCACAATAATTTTCTGAGCGATGATAATTTTTCTAAACTGCAAACAGTACTTTCTACAGATCTAAAATAACTATTAAAACATGTTGACAATTTGTAAATTTTACCCTGAGGTTTGCCTCATAGGTAAGTGCTCTTAGAAAGGTTTTATTTTGAGATTAAACTAAGATTTGAAAAAACAAATTACCACCCATCACAGGTAATTGGTATAAAGTATAAACAGAAATATTACCTGGATTTTGTAGGAAATATTTATAATTTAACCATTTTCTCTGTAAAATATACAGTTTACTTTCTGACAGATTGATTTTTGAATTTGTGTTAAAAAATTAATGAGCCTGAGATGAATGAGAAACAGTTTCATGCTGCTGTGCATTCTTCAATTTAGTGGTATAACTAATCAACAGCTCAAGATAGAATAAAATATAGTTTTGACTTAGTAATTTACTTCCTAACCTCTTAACCAAGCGTGTTTTAAAGCCATTCATGATATAATGACAATACTGGCAGACTACAAGAGTACTCTTTGAGACATGTAGTGCTTTGAAATGAACCTCATTGTGCTCCACACTGTCCCGTTTATCATATCTGTGCACCCATAGCAAACCCCCCAAGCACACCAGTGTAGGAAACAAAAACAGTATCTTATAAATGAAATATTTCTGACAAAGTGATCATATTTTCAGCCTAAATTCTAACTAGGCCACTGCTTCAATTTCACAAACTTTAACAGAAAATGCTGACAATTGAAAGCCTTTTCTACTTCACAATGGTTCAGATTAACCTTAAACACAATAAAGTAGAAGGAAAAAATGTTTTTCTGGTTTTGTTGCGGGATTTAGTTGCTGGGTTCACACAAATTGTGTTTTGTGAGAGGCCGTGACCTTTTGTGTTTCCCACATAGCGCGCAGACCGTAAGACGCCTGGCAGACAGCGCTCTGGGAAAAGCCTCCCACGGTCAACAGTTCCTCTCCTACTTCCTGCTTCACCTCAGTTACTTTTTGAAGTTCACGCTCACACGGCGGATATCGACAATGAGCCAAAGCCGGAGAGTCGCGCTGTCAAAAACCAACATGTGTTCATGAAATGGTGCTCGTCTTGGGATTTAGCGACCGGCCTGGCGTGATTTGTCACCAATTAGACCGCCGCGCCTCTTCTTTACGGTTTTAAATAGAAAGAGAAAAAAAAAAAAAGCTCCGCGGTAACGGGACCGGAGCCTCCGCCGTCAGAACCATCATGCCCGACTTGTCGAAGATGAAGAAACCCGACGTGAAGGTGGTTCTCCTGGGAGACATGAACGTGGGGAAGACGTCGCTTCTCCACAGGTACATGGAGAGGAAGTTCAAAGACACCATCAGCACCGTCGGAGGGGCGTTTTTCCTCAAACAGTGGGGACCGTACAATATCTCGATATGGGACACAGCCGGTAATCCTCCCCTCCTGTGTTTTTCTCCTGACTGTTGTACTTGTGTTTGTTTCACTCTCTCGTCGTGTCTCTTTTTCTTCTCTGACTGATTAACTTTGTTTACCTGGCCATAAGGCGTGATGCGGTCACCACCTGAGGTGGCCAGCGTCACGTGACCGCCCCGGCTGACCGTCTCTGGGACCCGGCGGCTGGAAACCTGCCTCTCATGTCACCCAGGGCCTTGCACAATCAAATCTTTTCGGGTCAAACACCGGGAAAACAACTCGATAATCCACTGAGTTTACAAAAATCCATGGAAAAAACAAAAACAAAAAGATCAGCCACTAGCAGCAGAGCAGGGGCCTTTATCAAACACCAGAACGTCTCTGTTCTGAACTGGTTTCCAGGAACATGCTGCTCTGGTTTAAGTGATCACGATCATCTCAAAAGCTGTGTTACCTTGAGGCAAAACTGCACACACAGCAGTGTAGAAAGTTTTATTCACGCTGAGTAAACTTTGATTAACTGGGTTACTGAAAAAAAAAAGTTTAGAAGTAATTATATCAGAGACACAAAAAACAGTTTTAGCTTCCTATCTTTACAACTGAAGATGTCGGTATCTTGCGAATCTCTTTGTTTGAACTTTAGATTTGTAGCACATATCGATTGACTTGTGATATGAAGCTCTAAAGTTAGAAAGTCACTTTAAAATGTGTCCGAATCCCCATAAGACTTCATGTTTCCTGGAAACGCAAACATTTCTTTGACCTCGGCGTGTTTGTGTTACAAATTCTCTCACAAACCTTTTTAAGATATATGGGTCAGTTAACGTGATAAAAATCACTGTGAGCTCGTCATGTGCTTATTGCTCAAGGTTGGAGTGACATAATCTAATCAGCGGGGCTGCCATCTGCATACTTCTGCACCAAAGCTCACAGGGGCAGGGGCCGTCTTTTAGAGTCATTACTTTTATTTCCTAAAACGGGGCCCTCATGAATGACCACCACCGTTAAATGTTTGATGACGGTTCCACGTTGATTTCTTTAACCGTTCCAGAGTCAGCCGGAGGGTCTTCCTGTTAGTGAGGATGTGTCTGACTTAGGAAGAGATTTTCATTGTACCGAAAGTGACGCAGAAAGTGGTCCAGAAGCGTTTAGGAAGCGCTGCCGACTCAGGCTGGTGGAACCTACGGCCGCAGCACACAGCCTCTTTCTGCGCTTTGTTTGAAATAATTTCTCACCAAAACTAGAGAAATGCAACCTGTGGGAAATAGCAGCTAATGGCAAATTACACTACGGCACCATTTATTTAAAAAAACAAAACAAACCTCAGAAGCAGCCTCCCCAAAAATCCCAAGTATGCCCTTCATTCCACAGTTAAAGAACCACCTTAAGGAACTGCTTTGTCTGTATTTGTTTCTGTGCAGCTCTTTAAAGATCCCCTCCCAACTTTTCGATCAGGTCCAGGTCTGGACTTGGACTGGACCGCTGCAACGCTCCCCGATTGCCACAGATTCTTCTTTTTGAGGCCTTCGGTTTGGAGCCGCCGCTGCGTTTGGGATTGTTTCCCTGCAGCGTGCCCCAGTTTCAGCCCAGCTTTAGCTTTTAGACAGACCACCGCCAGCCTTTCACTCCAGAAGACTTTTGCCCACAGACACGGTGTACCCCATATCATTAGCTCTCCACCACCATGCAGCGTTCTGTTTGGAGAGAAGAGGCTCTCTCCTGCAAAGCTTACGAACAAACTGGGCCAGTCTTTTTCTAACTCTGCAGTCCTAACCTTTAGCACGTTTAGATACCACCTGGTGCCCGTAGGGTCTGAGATGTTGCTCTCTGTTTTCTTTTTTCACTTTCCCTGAACGTTGCACTGTTTGACCTAGCGGTGAACTCATTTGGAATATTGACTGACTGTTGCGCTTTGGTTCGCGGAAACCAACTTTTCCTTTTTGCTTTGAATGCACCAGCCGTTTAAATGACTTTTCTGCGAGGCGGCCCGTGTAGCCGCTGCTCGGGAATAATCCCAGAACTGCTTTACATTCCAGCGTTGTGTGGGCTTGAATCTCTCAGAAAGAAAACTCAATGCACATTTTCAGAAAAGTGGAGCTTGTGAGTCACACAGATAAGGAAAGGCTGGCCTTTTCACCAAGTCAGCCATTTCCTGTCTGTGTTGCCTTACTCTATGATGTCTGTGGCAGCTCCCTTTTGCTTCTGTTCAGTCAGTGTGTGATAGAGAAACGCCCGGTCAGCACTGCTGAGTCATTTCAAGGGTACTGTTGCGTGTGTGTGTGTGTGTGTGTGTGTGTGTTGAAGAGGGGTGTTTAGAGGGGTGCTTGTAAAGCTTCTGGGTTGACACATCCAAAAGGGTTAGTTGAGGTCAACGATCTCTTTGCGGCGCTTTCATAACTTATCAGTTAAAACCAAATTCAAAGTCACCTCATGGCTTTTGAGCGGCCTATACCCTGTTCCTCTTAACGGTCACATGACGGGGATTCGACAGGAAGACTCGAGCCGCCTTGCTTCAACCTGTCCTTTCCCAAGTTACATCCACCAGCGTTTCCGAGAACTGCGAGGGTTCTTTGCTGACCCGTTTGAAACCAAGCGTGCTGGGTCATCGAAATTCGATTAGCAGCAACTCTTATTGGAAGCCAAGGAGCCGTTTTGAGGAAAACCTTGTGAATATGTGGGACTGCTGGCTCCTTAGAACACGCAAGCTAAGCTCTTCATAGGGAGTAGAATAGAGCTGTGGATTCAGGTTCAAAGCAGTGAGAGTAAAAACCTGAAAAGCGGTTCTCTGTGGTTCTCTGTGTCATGTGTTATCCTAAACTCTTTATATTTTAGTCCTGTGTTACTGGTTAGTTCAGGTACCAATAACACATGGCCAGTCGATTCATTATGGACAAATGTTAAAACTTGATTTTCCTTTAGAATGAATATTATTTTAATCATTGTAATCAAGAGTGTTGTATTGGGCCCTGATGGTTCTAGCAAGGCGTATCTAATTCATGGATAACTGAGTGTATCACCCCGTATTTGCCCCCGGTGGCAGTTTACCCACACACAATGCTCCCTTTCAACAATCCTACATATTTCAACAACAAGGGTTGACTCTGTGTTCAAACTGCTGCCTGACACTGCTGTTTCCCTCCGCTGTTCTTTCCGCCCCAAATGCTTAAAACGATCCTCCGTCTCTTCAAGATCACCCAGGAAACCTGGCTCACTGTGATTGGCTGAGCAGATTAGGGTTAGACAGCTGTTTCTGAGGTTTTGAAGCAAACCCAACTAGCTTCTTGGCATTTAGGTGAAGGACCTCAGAGAGTGTCTCATTTGGGAGAGAATACTTTCCTTTGGGGTGGCCTTTGCTCTGGTAGCTGAAAATAACGAGATATGAAACACCTCAAAGAGCAGGAAGACCCCCGGGCAGCACGATGTTCCCTCTTTAAGTCGGCGTGTGTGCAGGTTTTTAGGCCTATTTGGTCGCATGATCCTGCTCATGATTTTTATTTTTTTATTTTTCCTGTCCTCTTAAGGTCGGGAACAGTTCCACGGCTTGGGCTCCATGTACTGCCGAGGCGCGGCCGCAGTCATCCTGACCTACGACGTCACCAACTGGCAGAGCCTGGCCGAGCTGGAGGAGCGCTTCCTGTCGCTGACGGACACGGCCAACCACGACTGCATCTACGCCCTGGTGGGCAACAAGGCCGACCTCACCGACCCCCGAGCCCAGCTGCCCCCGGAGGCCGCCGGGCTCCCCGAGGACCAGACCGAGGAGGAGAGGACAGAGCCCCGGGTGCCGTCGGCCTGCCCCACCCCCCCGGCCTCCCCGACCTCGCCCTCCGGCGCGCTGCTGCACAAACAGGTGGCGGGCGAGGACGCCGCGGCCCTCTACGGGAGAATACTCCGATACAAAGGTCTGGACGAGAAGGGCAGCCTCCCCGCCGAGAAGATGTGCTTCGAGACGAGCGCCAAGACGGGCTACAACGTGGACGCTCTGTTCGAGACGCTGTTCGACCTGGTGCTGCCCTCCATCCTGAGGAAGAGGCACGAGAACCAGGAGTCCCCCACAGTGGACCTGGAGGACTTCAGGGGGGTGGGCACCAAGCGAGCCAGATCCACCTGCTGCTAGGGAGCAAAGGAAATGGAAGAAATAACCTCATGGGCCATTCCTGTTTTTGTTTTTTTTAAGTAACTGGCAGGCTGGTCGGAACCCAAAATGTGACGGTACGACTTTGTTCTGGGATCTGTGAAGCAACCGGGACCAGCAGAGTTCCCAGCGCCCCGGAGAACTGAAACTGCACTTGTGTTTGCCAAAGATGTGTGTCTGTGGGCAAATTACACAGATTAACAAAAAACAAAAGGAAAAAAAAAAAAAAAGTCAATCACTGCTATTTGTAAATGTTTTTTTCTCTTGTAATTTCACTAATTTAACAGCACTAATTATTAGCTGGTGACACACTTTGCACTGTCCAATGTCGAATATTAACCCACACCTCACTTCAGTGTTCTGCCTCCAGCGTTATGATAGTGATCTTTATATTTTATGGACCTTTTTCAATGAGTGTAAAGTTTCCCTGTGGACCTTTTTAGGCGTGCTGCCATAATAAAGATTTTTATTTTGCAGTTCGGGCTCAGACTCCTTTGGCCTCGGAATCGTACCAGTGAAGTCACACAACCGCACTCACCAGACAACGTTTAATCTCGTCACATCAATCAAATCACAGGGTTAGTGAATTATAGTACAGTTGAAATGGATCTTTTTCTTTTTGTTGCTTTTTCTTGGTGAAGCAGAGGATTTGACCTACTTTCTCAGCGGTGTAAAATGCTGTAATCTGACCCGGGGTCAGTGAACGGAGCAAGGACTGGCTGCGGTCCGACCTCTGACCCTGAGTGCTACTGAGTGGGTCTGGGGAGGGGGGGGCAGCTCGGTGATTCGTTTTTTAGAAAAATGAGTGTGATGAGGCTGGCGTTAGATAAGACATGTGGCAATAACGCGTTCGGCAAAGGGTCAAGTTCAGTCAGACGGTAAAAAACAGAATCAGTGCATTGTGTGATCATATGGAAACGTACAAAAGATACTTTTTAACAGTAGTTGATAAATTCAAAGACAAGAAAACTAACTGGAGCTTCATACAAAGACAGTTTGGAGAGCAACAGAAACAAAGCAGGATAATAACGATACTCCTCTAATGACCTCTTCGGCCGATGAGAGGCGGTGTTAGTGGCTTTATGGAAACTGAAGTAGTGACGACATACACGCGTGCATCTTTGGTTCAGCTGTATGATCTCTGATGGTTAAAATGTGACATAATAACTGAGGTAATAAGTTAAAAAAAAATGTAAAAAAGTAAGCACCAAACAACTTAACACGAAAATAATCCTCCCGTGATACAGATGTTCTCATTCAGGAGCTTCTCTTGCTTTATCTACAGTGCAGCTCAAAGGCATCACGGAGTCTTTGCATGTCTGAGCCCTGCAGCTCGGAGAGGGAAGCTTCCCGCCGATTCAGATCTCAGTGGGAACCTTAAGGTGGATCCCCCTTCCCTGTGTCATGTGAAGCCTCTCACAAGTTCTTCATGCAGACCTGGCAGCGGCTGATGCGTGACAGCAGCTGGCCGGCCTTCAGCGTCTCTGACGCCGGCTCGGTGTGGAACGACTGATCTACTGAGGTCAGCCAGAAGCTGTGCTTGTTCGCAAAGTAGTGGCATGTGCCTTTGGCCCCGTTGCACTCGATGAACGGCGTCGTTCGGAAGTCCTCCAGGCAGGAGCCCGGCGACGACAGCGACTGGCCTCCGCCTTCGTCTCCGGCCGCCGTGTGCTGCGCGGTCAGAGGTCGGAGAGACGGTCAATGAGATCCCCAAAAAAGAAGATGCTAAATGAACACTGACTGTGTTTTGAGGAAATAACATATTCTATTTGGGGAGATCAAACACCGACAATGAAACAACCTCGTAAGAATACTACCTGCACAGTTATTTATATATATATATACATATGTATATACACTCATTCTTAAACCATTCATCTTTTCTTTCTAATGACGAATGATGTGCAAGGTTTAAAAGAAGGCAGTTGCTCATGAGGAATGAGTCGTCGCCTACTGATCAGAAGGTCAGACGACTGACACTATGATGCTACAGGTCACATGTTGAAGATCCCTTGGGCAAGGCTCTGAACCCTGAATGTGTGAATGTGTGAATGTGTTTGTGAATAACGTGTGTTGTAAAGCGCTTTGAGGGGGTCACTTTAATTGGAAAAGTTCAAGTGCATTTACCGTTACCATTTACTCCGTCTCTCTACTTTTGACCGCCCGCAAGACAGCAGAACTCACCATGAGGAATGAGTAGCCAATCCACAGGCTGCGCCAGCCCTCGGGACACTGTGGGATGGTGATGTCCTGACTGTGGACCGCGATGGCGACTGACGGGGCTTCGCACACCGAGCAGCGACTTATGTACGGTTTGATCTCCCCCTCCTCTACCGGCATCATGGGGAGTGGAGCAGTGGTTGACAGCCAGTAGGACTTGTCGTTTCTGCTGGCGTAGTAGCAAATGTCGCCGGGGTTGCAGTACAGGAAGGGCATGGTGCTGAACCGCGGAAGGCACGAGCCGGCCAAACCTGCAGGCAGCCAACGACACAACCGTGAGTACACAACAACCAACGTCAAGCAGGAAAGACACTGAAACTCTACTAGAAATAAAGTTTGATTAACAACAGAAAAGCAATATGGAGCTTTAAAATAAAGTTGTATCCATATTAAAAATAGTGAGGAGATGAGGGTGCTTTTTTATACCGTCAACATGTTTTTACAATAGATAGGTTGTTTTCTTCACAGTTCTGCATGCTGATTACAGTTAAATCCAGAGTTTTGCCCTCATCTGAAAAGATGCTTATGGTTGGCAGATTCTTCTGGAAAGTTCACCTTATCCACCCTTCTCGGCTTTCTAAGAAAAAGCATTGCTCATATCCAATTGGGATAACAGTGTTTAGGGTGTTTGCTATCAGATTCCTTCAAAGGCAGCTACTTGTTGTGCTTCTGAGAAAACGTGGATCCAGTTGGGGAAAGTATCACATGACTTAGTAAAATGTCAGATTCAAAAGCAAGCCTCTGTTGGTTTGTACTATTAAATTAGTGTCAATAAAAGGTCTGAAAGTTTAATGAAAAACAACTCTGTTTTCTTCTTTAGTCTCTCTGTATGCCTTGTGTATCTTTAACTGTACTTGATATAAGATAAGACAGTTGTAATACACACCAATCAGTCATGATACTACTCATTTTGAGTCGTATTATCAGTAGTAGTAGTAGTATGCTTCCAACAGATGTCATCAGCTCCAAGATCAGATTGGTTTATGAAGAGTTTAGACGCCAAAGAACAGCTCAGAGCCGTTCTTATGTTCTTTAAGCCCTTCTAAAGAGTCTTTGTGAGACCTGTGTCTGTCCCACATGGGTGGCTGCCACAGCAGGCAGCCATGAAAAGAAAAGGGTGAATGGTCTGCAAAAATCTTTAGATAGTTGGCAAGTGTAAAAAAAACAACATCCATGTGAAATTCAGGATGTAGGTTTATCAAGAAAAACCTTTTGTCAGGAAATGAGCCGTGTTGCTCACTTTACCCATCGGTGGCTTCATGGTGGATTAAACAGGAGTAGACTGATTTCTCCTCCAGAAAAGTAAGAACAGCATGTCCTGAGAAAGATGTTCTGACCACTGGGGTGCTGCACCCTCCACGTCTTGGTTTGGAACTTAATAACTTTCCATGCTATCATCATGTTTTGAGCATCATGAGGCATAGTTACTGTTGTAAACTGTCCAGTGCTTTGAAATCCCTGTAATAAAGGCCTTTGTGCACCTGTGACTGTTTTAGGTGGAGGTTACCGGACACATGAAGCCTCGGGGGGAAAACCGTTTTGCATTCACAGGGACTCACCGAGGTCCTGGTTGTGGGCCTTTTCTTGACCCTCGAAGTACAGCAGGCTGTAGCCGTCCCATAGTTTGGACATTCCAACAGGACACATGGGTTTGAGCTCAGACTGACTGTGTTTCACCAGCAAGTAGCCCACGCTGACACTACGGCCAGGCATACCCGGCAAACCAGATATGCCAGGGTTGCCACGGTGACCTGTTGAAGAATGATGGGCTCATTCAACTGCCTGGCGAGCTAATGGTCAATTACGTAGTTTTTGCAGTGCTGAACACGGTTGACACACAAACTGTTATAAGCATGTGGCTGCATTTCTTTGTGGGATAGTTAGCAGAAGAGGCTCATGGAAAAAATAACAATCACTACCTTCTTTGTAACTGGTTCCCTGCTTAAACCATCACCTAATCTAAATCTTTTAATCCATGCTCATTAGTCTAATCCCAAACTGTGTCAGTGTCAGACACACCTTCCATGCCTTGCAGACCAGGGTGGCCGTCTGGTCCGAGTCCTCCACGGAATCCAGGCGTTCCTGGGGTGCCACTAATCCCAGGCATGCCTTTCTGCCCAATGGGGCCCATGAATCCTTGAAATCACAGAATACAACACATGTCAACATGGGTCTAAATTTTGGACTTCCAAACTAAATGAGTGGGTGTGTCTAAAATTGAACTGGTGCTGTGTAAATATTCAAAATATTTAAAAAAAAGAATTAGTAACCTGAATCTCCAGGTGGGCCTTGGGGTCCTTGTCCGCCTCCATTCCCCCTTGGTCCCTGAATACCCTGTGGTCCTGAAGGACCCCTCTCCCCTGGAAGTTTAACAGGAGGTGGAGGACGACCCTGGCTGCCAGGAGGCCCTTTAAAACCTGCAGGACATATGGTTAATTTACCATCTCAGAATCAGATGATATTTATCCTCAATTATGATAATAAAAAAGCACACTACTGACTAAGAGTTCCATTACTGACCTGGTATTCCAGTGTTTCCCTTTGGACCCTGTGGTCCTCTATCACCTCTTACACCAATCATGCCAGGAACTCCCATCAGCCCTTGTTCTCCTTTCACTCCTGGAGAAAATATCATGAAGAGATTTTACATTGAAGATTTATTATTGATTTAGGTGTTTATTTATCTTAATGTCTGTCCAGAGAACAGCAACTATACTCGTCAGAACTTTCACTTTAATTTCACTTAAAAGTTATGTCCTAAAAAACGCTTCATGTTTTCATACCTTTCTTCCCAGAGATACCATTAGGCCCCCTGTATCCAGCAGGACCAGGCTCTCCGCTATATCCTCTGATACCATGGGATCCAGGAAACCCAATTATTCCCTTTTCCCCCTTTCCTCCAGAGGGAGCATCAACACCCGGAACTCCTCTGGGACCGGGAAAACCTAAGAAGTAAATGATTTAAGATGAAATAACTTTTTAAATAGACAAATATGCATATGAAATTAAGGAAACCAGATTTCTAGTCAGATGTTAATACTGTGGCTTTGAAGCTCTTCTGCAGGTCCCAAGAGTAAATGAAAACAGAGTTGATGCAGTGTGATATCTATTTGTTGTGCAACTCACAGCAGAAATGTATTAAGACATTGGTTTCTTCTCACCTTGGTATCCAGTCGGTCCAGGAAAACCAGGATCCCCCCTGGTTCCTGGTGCGTCTGCGCTAGCATCAGGTCCCTGTAAGCCACGGACGCCTGGTAGCCCAGGTTGGCCAAAGTCACCTGAACAGACAAAACACGGAAAATGGGTCAAGCTTTCAAAAAGCAAGTTCAAGCGAGAAATTCCATTATCTTTCACTATGTTGTGTTCAGTTTTTTTCTTTTTCTTTTTGGAGATACTTAAGCGCATTCACCTGGAGGCCCTTGGGTGCCCTTCAAACCTGATGTGCCAGGAAGACCTGACTGGTTGTTGGGGTCCCCACTCTCTCCTTTCAGTCCTTTAACTCCTGGATCCCCTGCTTGTCCAACAATCTCCAGACCTGATGCAGATTTGACCCGGAAACACATTCTTAACAGAGACTACACCTTTTGTAGTGAATAGTTAGCTAACTACTCTTAAATGGACAGCTTTTACGCTTTGTAAAAAAACAAAAAAAACACAATGACATGACCAGGAACACAGATCAGATCTCAATCTAACTGAAAATGTATTGTTAAAAAAAGTCTAAATGACATGGTTTGATCCAGGTAATTGTAAATTTCACTGGAGATCCTCAGTTGATTCTAGAAGATTAAAAAAATCAGTGAAATAAAAACAAAGTACTAACAGTTTTTTATCTATGACAGTTGAGTGATTCTTAAATTCTTGCTTCTTGCTCTTGATTTAAATACATTTACAGAAAGGGGAAGAAAAGCTATTTTTAAAGTAATTTTCCAGTGAGTTTTAGGAACTCAGGATGATCATCTGCTGATACAATTTTGGTCTGTAGATTTGTTTTAGAAAATGAAAAGCTGACCAGACAAAATTAGGTCAATTTGTTTTATTTTATCAGAATCTGCTTATTGCTGCTGGATCTATTAAAAAAACAGGACTAATGGGCAAATCTAAAATATTGCACCATATGATAAGAATTAAAATACAAATGTATGATTAACAGTGTTGGTTAGAATACATTTAAATATATAAAAATGAACATAATAGAGCCCGGGAACAGGACATAACAGCCTATTGCTGCAGGTTTATTCTTGGTGTTGAGCTTTGGTACCTGGTGTTCCTTGGACACCCTTATGACCCTTCAGTCCGTGTAATCCAAAGAGGCCCTTCGAGCCAGGATAACCTGTACACATTTGATTGCTTAGAGGGAGAGGTATGTTTGAAATATAGTATGTATATTAAAAAGAAGGGTAGATGTGGTTACCTTTGACTCCTGGCAAGCCAGGAAAACCTGGCAGTCCATCTTCTCCTGGAGAACCAGAGGAGCCTTTTTCACCTTGCTTACCAGGTGCTCCAGTCTGCCCATAGGAACCTGTAAATAACTTCATGTTTTATATTTGTTCACAGAAGTTTCAACGCTTAAACATGCAAACACATTCAAAATTTGAAAATGAAGGGAAGTTATTTACCTGTATTTCCCGGTATTCCTGGGTCCCCCGACTCCCCTTTCTTCCCCACAATACCCACAGAGCCAGGAATACCAGAGTCCCCAGTTGTTCCATTCAATCCTTTCTGACCTGTAAGATGGAAATGAAACCTTTGTTTCCAGTGAAAAACTTTGGATGAATCCTCAGGAGAAGAAAAACCTTCTGTATGAGGTGCAGTTTTTACCTGGATCTCCATCAAATCCAATCTCTCCTCTCAGTCCAGGGGATCCCGGTATGTCTATGCGAGGGCCTATTTCACCTGTAATATTCAGCTTAATTTACTGCATTTACATAAAAATGTATTAATCCATTTTGATTTACGATTACAGCATTAATGGCAGCCGGTTTGTGGCGTGAATTCAATTTGTTACCTTTGGCTCCCTTCCTTCCTTTGTCACCTGATGAACCATAAGAACCAGGACTTCCTTTGATTCCCTGAAAGTAGGGCATTCAAAGCATTTTTCATTTGACCGTTCAAAACAATAAAAAACGATAAAACAAAAATAGCATAAATTTGAGACTGCTGCTTGAAACAATACATTCTTATAGACTGTCAGGGTGGTGCTTGCTCTCTTTTAAGAAATTAAAAAAACTAAATGTGTGACCCGCTGAGAGGAAGATGAGGATCCTGCAGCTGTCAACTTCAATAAAATGACTCTTTAGTGGGATCGAACATGTTTCTGCACCACATCGGGCTGCAGATCGCGACTTGTTACTTAAAAAAAGAAACGCATTCTGGATATTCACACTATAGATGCTGGCGCCTCATGGGTTGAGTGATAAACTATCTTATACAGATCTCTGTATAAATGGGGTATGAGCTAAATATATAACCAGGTTTTGTTATCCTGTTGTGTTAATACTCTTCTGTCTTTCAAAGCTCAGTCAACTTCGATTTATAAGTTTTTGTACTTCTTCTTTAAGACTATAAGCTGAAAATCATCAATGTTTAACTCGTATACATTCTCCTGGTGTGGTTCTGCTCACCTTGTTGCCATGCATGCCCTCGAAGCCTATGATGCCCCGATTTCCTGTTGGTCCTGGCATTCCTTTAATCCCCGGTAGCCCCTGTGCGCCTGGATCTCCTTGATGACCTTTCTCAATGTTGGGGTCTCCAGGAAGACCGTGATATCCCTCTATGCCGGGCACACCCGGAAAACCTTTTGGGCCTGTAGAGAGATGCAAGATTTCTCAAAGTAACGGGTGAAGGGACATAGAAAGTATAAGACAGGAGTTCTAAGTCAGACTGGGGCTGCACACCTCTTGGCCCAGGGAATCCGTGAAGTCCCTCACTGCCAATGTCTCCCTTGGCTCCCTTCATGTCAACAATTATTTTAGCTGGGATCTTGGGCTTCTCGCCAGGTGGCCCTGTCAGACCTCGATCACCTGGCAAAAAACAAATAAATACAGGGATTCTGTGCCACTCTCATAATGCTTAAAACATCAACAGCTGAACGTGTCTCACCCTTCTCTCCAGTATTTCCTTTTTCTCCCTTTAGGCCAACTTGTCCAGGCACTCCAGGCTGCCCTCTCTCTCCGATCAGGCCTTTCCATCCACCACTACCCGTGATCCCCGCAAAACCTGACATGCCAGGAGACCCTTTGTCTCCTTATAAGTGAAAAGTCAAAGAAAAAATTATTTTGACTTAAAATGTTGGAAAATGATATGTTTAAATACCTCTTAAACAATCAATCCTCTTTAGTCTTAAATAAAAAAAGAACTGTATGTTGTCTGAAGAACCCACCTTTCAGTCCCGGAAGTCCTGAGCGTCCACCTGTACCGGTGTACCCTCGGTCACCTGGTGATCCTTGCTCTCCAATGACGCCATCACTGCCATAAGTCCCTGGCATGCCTTTCAGCCCCATTGGACCTGGAGGACCAGAGTCTCCTTCCCTCCCCCTCTCTCCTGGGATTCCTGGTGAGCCAGACATCAGTTTATCACTAAGAAAAGAGCTGAGAACATTTCAGGACACACATATATGTATAAGTATTTTCCCCCTAACCTGGTTGTCCAATTGCGCCATGCGGCCCGGGTGGGCCTACTCTACCAGGGTCACCAGGGAAGCCATATTGGCTCGGAGGCCCAGTTCGTCCCTCCTCCCCTGCCAGGCCTACAGGACCTCCCTCACCCTTAGAGCCAATCATACCTGGCATGCCCATCATCCCTGGAAAAAGCAGAGAAATCACAGATAACATTGAGTTTTCATGTTTTCACTCCATAGTTTGACTGGGAAAATATCAGCTTACCATGATAGCCTGGTTGCCCTTGATCTCCAGTTTGGCCTTTGTTTCCATGAAGGCCTGGCAGCCCGGGGTCACCCGGTGGTCCATGTGATGCTCCCAATATTTCTCCATGAGCACCTTTTTCACCTGGTCCCCCATATCGGCCGGGAGTACCCGAAAAACCAGGAAGTCCAGCTGAACCTTTGGTGCCTGGAACCCCCAAATCTCCACGAGGACCAGGGAAGCCTGAAAGGTGGAAAATAAAGCATAAAAATAAAAAGTAGCTAAAGACACATTAGATGTAATGTGGAATGTGGTTCCTAGATGTACTCGATCAGTAATTCAGACTGTTGTCACATTGCTTTTTCTTATTTCAAAAGGTACATTTTAATACCTCTATCTTCTACAGGATACTTGTAGGTTTAACATAAATCCATCAATGTGAATGTTAACAGAGAATAAAACAGAGAAGCTGTCGATTACCGAACATCTATCATTTAGCCTTTGCTTTCAATGGTGAAGCTGACTCAGGACACCAAAAATGGGCTCAAATCTAGCCGCAAAGTGCTGCTATATCAGGAAATACCGTAACCCCAAACCTGCCAGTTCCTCACAGCACATCAGTGTGACAACATCCGTTTCTTGTGCAGAAGATATTACTACAGCGACAAACTAACCACACAGAGAGCTGTTCCTCCTCAGCCCTTACCTGGTGGTCCAGGACTGCCACCTGTGCCTCGCTCTCCTTGTTCTCCTTTTTCTCCCTTGACTCCAAATAACCCTGATTCTCCTTTTCCACCAGAGGGTCCTATGGAATCAGAATTACAACAGGACATCAGACGTAGCATAACAGCTATGTTCAAGGCTTTTTTTTTTTTTTTAGCAAAACTCCTCCTTTTCAATTACAGCCTGTTACCTGGTAAACCTGGTAATCCGCTTGGTCCTGGAATTCCAGGAAGACCAGGAGGTCCTGGAACAGCTTCACAAAGGCCTGATAAGATAATAAAAACAAAATATTCAGGACAACATAAAGGTACTCCATTGAGGTGGCTGTATATAAATAGGAAATCGGTGCAAGTAACTTTCTACTGCTGCCCAGCGTGAATGGCCCTCAGATTCTGGCATCTTCATAAAATTAACTTGTAGCTAAATACCCAAAATATCAAAGAGTAATCAACTGAAAAAAATCATCATGCCCATCAGTTAAATAATCCAAAGGCAAAGCACAATACAGAGTTATAAAGGGGAGCTACAAGGAGAAAATGTTGCTATACCAGCTACCTGTTACATCCACCTGTCCTCCTCCTGTTGGACTACAGCCGCCTTTCAAATGCAAAGGAGGGAGAGTGAAAGAGAGAGGCATTCGGAACAAGAGTTATTCAAAAAGCACAAGCATTATTCCAAACAAGCTCTGCTGCAGCTGGCTTAAGAGGTGCAGACCCAGTATTACAGAGACAGCGGGAGGAAGAAAAATAACCAAATTGAGCAAATCTTCTCATCATGCATCTCTTGCTTTTCACCACAAGCCATTAATGTTCATTCCAGTTGTACCACTTTGCACTGAATAACAAACGAGGGCATTTTGAAAGAGCCAAAGTAAAATTACAGAAGGAAAACAGGCAAAAAACAGAGACAAAATGCAATGCCTAATCAGACTGAATGGAAGCAGGCACGGAGGCAGCTGCCTCTCACCTGGAAGTCCAGGTGTTCCTGGAACTCCGTTATAGCCAGCAATGCCGTCGTCTCCAGGCAGACCACGTGTTCCTTTGAGGCCTGCAAGGTCTTGACCTGTTTCTCCTCTCAGTCCGGCTGCACCGGGGCTACCTGGTTGTCCTGGGAAACCCTTTTCTCCACGCCCTCCCCACGACCTTTCACCCTGTTCATATGAAGCAGGACGATCATTATACAGTAAACGGAAAAATTCTACAAGCTACTGAACCGTGGGAAGTCCAAACTTTTTCCACAAAATTTCTGCATGCTGCCTTATTCAGACACAGTGTATATATGTGATCTTTTTATGGTGATATCTATTATAAACTCATATGTAAAACCTTAAAACTGAAAGAAACGACAAGTGTAGGTGAACTGTAGGTATGAAGATGATAAGGCTATAGCAGAGAACACTGATGGACTCACTGGATAACCACGACTACCAGGGACACCCGGAAGACCACTTGGGCCTGGGATACCTGGATTTCCTGGCACACCATCTGTTCCTGTTGACCCTGGGTCACCAGGATATCCTGTTGGAATAAAAGAATTATGAAAAGGTGACTAAATACACTGATGACCAGTGTTCAGATACGTGGTGGAGGTTATGGGTCACTGTTGTTGATCAGAAATTAGATAAATGAACAGACTCTGCACCTTTCTGTTTTGCAACAACCAAGTCTCCTTTCCGGCCTTTTGGACCTTGAAGACCGGCCACCCCAGGCCATCCCTACAACATGAAACGTCTGAGGATGAGTGTGATGTAGCAAAATGGGGCTTAGAGTAAAGGATGTCAGAAAACTGAATGAATTCAGTTTTGATGCCGATCTTTTTGTTTTCCTTACAGAGGAACCGTCTTCTCCCTGGGGACCTGGGTCTCCCGTGTCACCCTCACGACCAAATTCTCCTGTCATCCCGGGATCGCCTGGTTCCCCAGCGGCGCCAGGTAAGCCAGGCTGGGCATTTAAAACACGGCACTGGCATTCTCCATGATCACCTAAACGTAGACAACACTGGATTGTCAAAATGGATCTAGTTCGATTGCAACATTGATAAGAATCGAAAACTCAAGAGAAAATTATTAGAACAGAAATGCCATTTCTGTACCTTTCACTCCTTTGAAGCCTGCGTTACCGGGCCTACCCCTCATACCTGGAGAACCCTTGAAGTAATCTTCCCCTACAGAAAATATAATGAATACAGGCAAAATTGGACACAACACTAAAAATAATCTTCTCCCCCATGGGTCACTCACATGATCCTTTAGGTCCTGGAGGGCCTTGCCCCCCTGGACGCCCTCCGACCCCGGGGGGTCCTGAAATAACAGCAGGTTGACCTGGTTCCCCTTGCACACCCTTCTCTCCGCGATCTCCCTTAAAACCAAATGGGCCGAAGAAATCCCACACTGAGAAACACAAAGGAATATTCAAAGATCATTAGTGGTCAGAAGGAAAAATGACATGTCACATTTCTACAAACCTAATAAAGTCATCCAGGAAAGACAGGTGAAGCTTCACCTTATAGAGATATGAGCCAATCTGTTCAATGGGTTTAACAGTCAACCCATCCAATCTATCTATCTATCCATCCATCCATCCATCCATCCATCCATCCATTGTCTACCTCGTATCCAAAGTCAGATTGCAAAGGTTTGGGAGCAACATTTCTCTCTCGAACCTCATAAGAAAACCCATTTCAGCTGCTTATATCTATCAACCCATCAGATGGACACGTCAGTTGAAAAGCTTCACCTTCTGGCTCATTTAGTTCTTGAACATAATGGGCTTGAGCAGTGCCCTCATCACAGGTGACAGCAAACCTTTTCCAAGTGTACATACCACATGAAACTGGATAGTCCCAAACTCCATTAAAATACACCATTAAAATCTGGTCTTGTGTTACAAGAGCTGGGCTATAACAATGCTGTCTTTCTGAAGTGGAAGTTCCACAGTCAGTTAGAGTTCCTCTCCAACACTATGTTGTAAACTTTCCCATGGTTACTTTGGGATTTCCCATAATTGCATCAGCTAAAAAAATACCAGATGAAAATGAACTCATAAAATGTTTCCCATTAAAAACAATCAAAAACAAACTCTGCAGAAAGATTGTACTGCAAGTCAATGTCAAAATTTGAGAAAACAAAACTGAACTGTGATGTATTTACTGACAACATACAAACTTGAAACAGTCTGATTTATATTTGCAAAGGTAGAAACTGAATGAAAACAGAAAGCTGAAGCAGTAATCAGGAAGGGCTGTGAGTACTGATCAGAAACAAAGAAAAACATCAGACAAAGCCAAAAAACAAGATAAATCTTCTTGGTTCAGGATGTTTGTCATGAACCCATCAAGAAATATCACATTGCAGTCCAGACAATATTGCACAGAGGTAACATAAGGAAAAAATATATGCTGAAAAATTAAGAAAATGCCCTCATAAATGGAAGTAAAATGGATGTAGACATAACAAAATGTTGGGTGACAAATCGTACCCAATCTACAAAGACCTGTAAGTGTAAGAAATGCAATAATTAAAGTGATACAATTATAAGTCAAATGACATTTAAATGTGATGTAATTATTTTTGTTGTATGAATAGAGCACACAAATAGTTTTAGAATGACTACGTAAACCAACTAAGACCAACATGTGCCGCCTTTTGGGCCACGCCTTGACCTCGCATGAACGGGCCATTTAATTATGTCTTCTTTAAAGAAGAGTCCATGTGGTTTTTCTGCTCCTGGTCTGATAGTTTTGGTCAGAGTCTAAGAATTGAGAACAATAAAGTCAATGTGCTAAATCCATGCAGTGGAGCAACAAACCTTGTTGCTGTGATTCAGATGCAGGACGTCCAGGGGGTCCAGTGAAGCCTTTATCTCCAATTGGACCCCTCTCTCCTTGTGGACCCTGCTCACCAGGGGGTCCACGTGGGCCAGCTTAAAAGGGTTATAGAAAACAGAAGAACGTTTTACAAACATCTAGATAGGTAGCAACGTCTCAGGAGTCTGTGAACCTTGATGTGTGCTTCTGATGTATTTTCAAGTCCACGGATTGTTGTTGCAAGTTAGCATATCTAAAGCACCCAAGGAACTGAGGTATTGTAGTTCATGACTTTGGTTTCCATCCCTGCAGTGCACTAATCAACTTTGGCTTCAGTTGGCATCTTTGTGGCCCTGTATGGCTTTACACTTGCAGGGCTCATATTTGTTTAAATGACAATGGTGTTACATTGTAAAAATCTGTCCTACTTAAACACTTCTTAATTACAAATCTGATTTCCCATGTAGCAAAAGCTCACCTGCCCCCCGCCCTGTATAGCTTCAATTTTATCTACACTTTTAATTCTCTCAATTATATTTGAGTTAGCAGTGACTCATAGTTTAAGCGATCGCCATTGTAAATCAAATAATCTGTTAACATCTTTTCTCAAGTTCATAAACAGTCAAGTTCTGTAAGTTTTTTATTTTAGATTTTTCTTTTGGCTCACTATGTAAACTATTAATTTAATCTTCAATAACTGCTTTAACAATAGCTTTCCTGTTTCCTTTCAATATCCTTACCAGTAGAGGACCATGGCCAGAGTGATCCTGATGAAATCAGCTCTCCTGCTTCACCTCTGGCTCCCTGAAATACAACAACATTAGTCTCTCTGCCTGCAGTAAGTGTTTCATTAGCATATAGATACCATAAAGGAGACTTAGATAGGATGGGGTTAGGATTAGAGCAAAGCAAAATGTTAAGATGTGATGGAGGAGACTCTGAACATGCTTGAAACTCAGTGGATAGCAGGTGTCAGTTTTATTTATTTATATATACACACAAGCATTTTAAAAAAACAGCTGAGAACCAATATTTTTACTTTAATGATAACTGCTTGAATTTAATTAATCGGATTAATTAGTAACTACTCATGTATTTATAAGCCACTTAAAAAGCCTACAGTATTTAAACAGGGATTCAAAATGGCCATCGTCTCACCTTCAGACCAGTACTGCCAATCAGCCCGCTTTCACCAGTATCACCCTAAAACAAAGTCAGTGGGATCACAAAATTAGTATATTTATTGTTGTCATAATTTCTAAAAAAAATGCAAGGATATTGCAAGTTTAGAACCACTTCACGCACTTACCCGTGGTCCAGGACGTCCATCTGCACCCTTTTCACCCTGCAAAAAGATTCCAAACAGCATAGGACATAAACTTAAGCCTTGCACAGAGAATAATGAAAATGTCCTGACGTGTGTCTTCCCTGACCAGTTGTCCAGTGAATCCCATCACGCCACGCTCTCCTTTGTCTTCCTCTCCTGGCTAAAATAAATCACAAGGACATGTTTGTGCATAAAGGTGTAAAAATGTGTTGCAAAGAAAAGCGATCATATTCAGATACAGATATACATAAGATGCTGCATACCATATCTCCTTTTTCTCCTTTTTGGCCTTTTATTCCTTGAGGTCCCTAAAATAATAGGGACAAAATAACAGTTTTGGTTATCTCCTTGTTCCACACACTGTCTTTTCCTTTGACAGAAGTATCTTGACGAGACATTAAATCTGGTGTGTGTAAAAGGAGATTATTTTATTACAGCAGGGGGCTGACGCTGTTGACGAGTTTGGTTTCCTGGAAATCCTGGCAGTCCGATTTCACCCTGTGGTCAAAGCAAGAAATGCAGAAAACGGTTCGTTAGCGCACAGGGAAAACAACCTTCACTGAGTACTCACATTGCCTGCTAAGGCACCATGAAAATGTAAGAGTCAAAACTGAAAATGCAGGATTTCTATTAAGCATTGGTTTAGCTCCTGAACACATAATGCCTTGAAGAACATCCAGGAAAATGCACTCGCAACAACTTTGTTTTCACTTTAATCAAAGATCATTGTTTGTCAGAGTGAGATGTGCTTCAACTCACAAGAATTCTCAATTTTTAGTGCAACAGCTGCAACTCCATTTTTGTTTTGTGCTGTACATTGATGCCTAAATACTGACTATCTTCACATGCAAATATAGAAATAAAATAACTTACTGGCTCTCCTTTGACTCCCTTAAGCACTTTGGTCATGGTGCCCTACAAAAAAGAGAAAGTAAATATTTGAAGCAGTACTGATAATTTAAAAGGCTTTTACAGGTGACGGGGAAGTTTCGACATATGTTGACTCATCCATATATCAAATATGATAAATAAAAGGTTAAATGGTTAATTGTTGTACAGGCATTGTCTTACCTTTGGTCCACGAGGACCTGGAGGACCTGGTGGGCCCTATAAAAGACAAAAACAGGTCAATAAGAAGCAGTTTTCCTGACAGTTGAAACTCTCCAATGAATAAACCACAGGCCTGAAACCATACACCCACCTTTGGGCCAATTGGGCCTCTGTTACCTTCTAACCCTTGTTCTCCGGGAGGCCCCTGCAAAAGAGAAAGAAAAAATAACGACATTCATGAAATAGTCGAACTGAAAAATATATATTTTCAGATAAACTGAGGATGATAGTGTGTCTTACATATCTTCCATTTTCCCCAGGTGTGCCTGGATCCCCCTGAAAAGAGAGTTTTTAAAGATCTAAGTATGCTTTTACTAATAAAAGTTTAAATGAAATTTCATTTAACAAACAACTGCTCCTCACCCTGAAACGCTCCATGTACACGCTGACCTCCAGACTGTCTCCCTTCTCTCCCTTCCTTCCTGATTGTCCCTACGGAGAAAAGAGAAAATCATTTATTACTGAGAGGAAAGCAATCTCTCTAATGAGAGAAACCTCTTTGGGGAGATTTAGAGATACACACAGGAACTCCTGGTGTGCCATCATAGCCGTTTGTTCCTGGGAATCCAGATTCTCCTTTGGTCCCGTTACAGCCATCTGCTCCTGGCTTGCCCCTTGGACCGGGCTGTCCTGGGTGACCCTGAAGAGAGAAGACCAGAGCACGGTCAACACCCGGTCAGCAGGCTGTGACTCAGGCCGTGCTCATCAACACCACTGGATGGGACCTACAGGAATGCCGTCGTTTCCAGAGAAGCCAGGTACGCCGGCCATTCCCTGCAGAGCAAAAAGAGTCACATATTCAACATAACTGATAGTCCATCATGTCTTTTTTTAGCCAGTAGAAAAACATAGAAGGTCAATTTACCACGCTGCCTTTAGGACCAATGATGCCACCATGACCTCTGTCACCCTTCGGACCCTTTGGTCCCTGGATACCTGGATCCCCCGGTCGCCCTGAAACACCCTTTGGACCCTGAGGACCAAGGGGCCCAGGCTGACCCTGAGATCAGAATGACAGAAAAAAAAATTAAAAAACAGTTCAATGATTCAATGATTGAGGAAACTCTCAACATTCAAATATATCTGGTGCAAACGATAAGCGAGTAATTCATGACATAACTCACACTATGAGTTACACTAAAACACCTCACAGCTAACTGCACTGCTATAATCTAGTCCAAACGTTTTACTTACAAGTTTAAGTTACAACCACATCAAATTGTTTGGGATGAGGTGCATTGCTAGTGAACTGGGAAAAATGCACAGTTTGAATTGAGAAATTAAAAGAAAAGTGTCAGGTGAACTGAAAATCCATCGCAACAAACTTAGATTGGACTTCATTCTTCATTCTACCTAACCCCCCCCCCCCCCCCACACACACACCCACCCGGATCCCTTTTTGCATCACCAGGGGGAGACAGAGGCTTCTCTTTCTCCAGTGAAGGCCTCTGCTTCAACCATCCCGGCACTCTACACCCATCCAGTGTTCAAACTGTTGACTGCAGTCCACTTCCAGATAAATACCAGCAGGATAAAACCCACTCAATGATCGCAACACCTCCATACAATGCGAAGGGGGATGACACTGTATAGTAGGCAACGTGAGGTACTGAACCCTCTTTGTGGCACATGCACGCAGACACTGGTGGCCCTTGATAGATAGAGCAGTTTAGAGATTTCATCAGCGTAAATGAAGCCAGACTCTGCAGGCGGGCTGTCAAATGTCTCCACAACGAGAAGAAAAATGTCTGTAATACTCAGACTATCGGAGTGTGCAGACAGCTCTTTAATCTGCTGACTAAATATAACAGCTTGATTAAGACACTGTGGGTGATGACAGAGACAGGCCAGGCACTCATTCAGACTGGATGGAAGAAAACATTAGCTTGGATTAAATACCTCAGCATGTCCGTTCAATTTTATTATTTTTTTTACCAATCCTGAGGGTGTAAAACTTTATCTCATCTTTATGGCCACCAACGGTACAGCAGAAAAAAATGCAAATAAACAAAAACTTAAAAGAGAGAGAATCTTTTCCCCTGGTTGAGGTGAGATGTGTCTGCCAAAACAAAAGGAAAAGTGGCATCTGGAATGAGACAGAAAAGTTGTGTTTTTTTTTTTTTACAAATACTCAGCAGAGCTGCATTGTAACAGTTACTGACCAACTCAAGGGGGGCGGTCAGAGGAGCTGGGAGTGGAAACCAAATAAATTAGGTATTTGTTTTACAAGGGTCCGGCAACGCAAAGTGTCTTAAATACCATGAGAATTTATCGTTGCGTGCAGTTCATGTGGTCAGTAAGTGGTGACCTCAGAGGGCCTGACCCGGTTCCTGTGAGAACCGACGAAGCGGTGATGTTTGTCAACTGACAGAAAAGCTCCAGGCCGAATGACTTAGAACCGAAGCAAAAAGTCTCGGGGGAATTAATAAAACAGCTGGAATCCTAAACAATGTCAGACAACAATTCAAACAAGCTCAAACGCATCACATGCGCATTGAATAGTTTCAGATGAAGCCTGAGATAAACGGCGTGCATTTGGTCACCCACAGTGGAGGTGGATTTCTTAAAGATGAGAGGTGTGTTTTGTCTGTGCTCAGAGTTCATTTGGCAGCTTAGTGGCTGATAACAAGACTGCCTTGATTTAGGAGTTACGTTTGAGCTGTGAATGCTTACTTTTGCTGACAGAAACAACTGGACAGATGAGCAATCGATGCAATCTGACACCACATTGTTGGCTATTCTGAAACTTTCCACAAAAAACAAGAAGCTGCTTTAATTTGCAATCAAGGTTAATAGTCTGTGACAAGTGCTTCAACACATTTAGAAGAATAACCTACTCAGGGCGGAAAATTCTGGTCTGTACCACATTTAATGGAAATCCATCACGTTAGTGTTGAAATGTGCGTTTCAAACCACAAATAGAAACACTGCGGTGGTCCAATGACAAATCACTGTAGGATTATCCAGCTCCATGCCCTGAATAATTGAAAACACACCATCAGAATGAAGAAATCTGCACTATTTGGAGCGTGCATTCATCTCAACTGAACCCAACCCTTTTTTTTTTATTCAAAGAAAAAAAAAGAATAAAAAATATCTTCCCTCTTGTCCAGATGACTGTTGTGACTTAAAGTTTGGAGCCTACCACCCATTATGTTTTAGCCAAAAAAAAAAAAAGTTACCTATCATTTTGTTGGAAAACCATAATTAGTCTCTTGGGAAGCAAGATGTCACATGAACTTTACTCATTCACACTGCAGTAAATCACTAACCAAGGAAAAACAAAAGTATCTAGCTATCTCATTTTCTCAAGGCTAATGATTCAGTCACAGTCATTTTTTGGCAATAATTCACACATAGAGGGTGGAGTAAACACAGAGTGACGCTGGGGAGGACTACAGTGAGCCATGTCGAGTAATTACTTTGTAGAAAAACGGCACATTTAAAAAAGAAAATCATGTGAGCGTGGCCTTGTTTTTCTGGATTTTTGGAGTGTAAAAACTGGGAACTTTCCTTACTCTTGTGGCACAACTGATTTGTGGGGATAGAAATGGTGGAAACCAAATGTTTAAAGAGGTCCTTTAAGGGACAACCTGCTGTGCTGTGGCCAGGGACTATGATTTGGCTATTGGGGTCTAAGTAAAGTCTCATAGTAGATGATGGACCCCACAATGATGGAAAAAATGCACGTGTGAGCATGAGAGGTCCTCATCTGGAGGACTTGCCTGCCGCACTTCTCCGTATCATCCAGCATACCCTAAATAGAGAACTGATAAACACCAGCCACTGTCTGTAGCTGATAATGTCAGAGGTGGTTGTTGTTGCGTATTTCTGTGTGTGTGTAGATACCAATGCGGGATCTCTAGTAAATGCCACCATCACGGCGAAGAACGGACGCAGTGAGAGGAAAGACAAAACAGTTTGTTTACTGGTTGGTTTGCTTTTCCGGTGACTTATCACAAAAGGGCACAACATGAGCTTTTGTCAAGTTGTGTCTTGGACAGAAGGGCTTAGTCTTTGGGAAGAGAATCAAAGCTGTTGTAGAAGTGAGTTCAATGAGTTCAGACATCTGGTTAGGATTCTTTCTCCCGAGAGAGATTTGTCATATAGACTGGAGAGATAATGTCTAAAGGGACTGGCCTTAAATCGTACCTCACTGGACTTACATAGAATACAGTGGTCATCCTTTTTTATATAAGAAAATAATAGTTATGACATAGGTTTAGTTCACCAAACACCTGTGCGTGTGTCTTAATCAAATTAAGGGCTATAGGATTGTGTATCTATCTTACTTCCGGAGCTTTGATCTTTATCATTTCCCTTCTTTTCTTGACTCTTCTGACCTAAATTCTTTTGTGTTCCATATACATGCCCAATCCCCATTTGTATCTGCCCTCATTACTTCCAACCACCATTTCCTTCCTTTCTTGCTAAATACGTAAGTGTTCTCACATTCCATAGCGTATCTTTTTTATCCTCCTTTGTCTCCAAGTTTTTCCTTCCTGTAAAACATAAGGTGAAGAGTGACAAACATGAAAGCCACTTACTGTAGCATGGGATTGGTCAAGACAATAAATAAGAAAGAAATGGCTGTTTCCTACATGGGAATGTAGTAAAACTCTGAATGGAGAACTTAAGATCAGAAGACGAAGAGGGGTGCTCCTCAAACAGACAAGGCTTCACTAAAGGTCAGTGAAAGCATGCTCGTCTGAATTCCTCTGACTTTGAAGACTGGTCATAACTTTGGCAGATTATAAAGCCCTCGAGACATGTGCCGACTTCAGGCTATCTTTTTTGCAACTGTAGCTATCTGTTCTTTAGGTTTCTCTCTGTCACAGATGGCTCTCGTCATAATTCTGGCTTCTCATCTCTTGACATCCATTGTATGATACGATCAGAGCTGAGAGATAATCTACTAAATATCTATATATTTTAACCAAGCATGATTCATTATGATGTTTTTAATCATGTAACCAGTCCTTGTTATCATAATCTTATTTTAAAAAATTACATACATAGATACAGTTTTTCTACTTCAGATTTTGCAAACTGAACTATTTAATTCTTTAAAACTTTTGACTTATAAACGCCACAACCTAGCCACCTTGATACAATGTTGTTATTTTACTTATCTGCAGAACACAGACACAAAATTTACATATTTCTGAACCTCATTACATTCAGAACTTGTCACAGCAGCTTTAAGAAACACAACTTAACATTGGCAAAAGAAGAGACTATAAATAAAAGCAACTATCCCACAGGAAACATGAACCGCACTGATTTAGTTAAGGTCTCCCGTGGGACAGAGACCATGGCTGGTGTCCAAAAACAGCCTCAGACTCTTATTTGCTGTGGTTTGAATAAAAGAGAAACTATAGAAACCTGCTGCATGATTTATCTGGCAAAAAACTGTGTTATTTTTCTCCTAATTTAATATAAATGAAAACAATGCCTATCAATTTGATAGATGGCATTCACATTGTTGTTTGCATGTTCTCCTAGAGTCTGTGTGGGTTTTTCCACATACTCCAGCTTTGCAACATCCAAAAATAAGCATGTTAGGTTAATTGGACTCTCCAATAGTCCCTAGGAGTGAAAGCGAGTGTGTGTGTGGCCCTGCAATGGAATGGTGACCAGTCCAGGTCCCCACCTCTTTCCTCTAGCCTCCCCGAATATAGAATAATATAGAAAAGGATGGATGGCATCCCCCCCCCCAGCTTTTGCACACTATGAATTCCAGCAAAGATCTAAGATCTGAATAAAACTGGAATGTTCTGAACAATTAATAATCTAAAAAAGTTATGTGGAGTTTAAGTTGAGGGGTATAGAGTTTCCTGACATTTGCCACGTATATGCCAGCTGCTTTACGATGTATGCTCAGAGTTGCGGTGGATGTGGAACTGTATGGCTGCAGAAAAACAAGAAAAGGAAAGAAAACTTGCAGGTGACGGACAGCAGAACAGCTAATGTGGGTAAGGGAATAACTTTCTGTGTTGTT